TATATTTTAATTTATATTCTTATTGATTGTTATTACTAAATAATATATTTTTGAGTTTGATACATAAATTATAATTTAAAATAATTAAATTATAATCTTCTTTAATATAGAGTTTTAATTTCTGGAATTTGCATACAATACATTTTAAAATTTATTTAGATACACTATAGATAAATATTTGTTAGTGATAATTTATATTCTTTTGTTGTGTTTAAAAATGATACTTTAACATCTATTATTTTAGTATTTTGCACGATTTTATAAGTAAATATATTATTATTTATTGATAATTTTTTTTATAAATTATAAATAAAAAGAATTCCCGCACGGTTGTACGGGTCGAGATCTAGTTTTACATTATTATTTATTACAGGGATTAGAACAGTAGAATATCATATCATTAAGTATAGAAATGGAGTTTTGCAATTATATATCTTTATCCGTTTCCAAAAGTTCAAAGCTGTCTATAGTTGTAGTCAATTATCGTGATTTTGCTTGGACGCGTTAGAATAGTATGGAAACAAATAGGAAAATAAAACTCATAAATAATGTAAAATCTATTATATGGTGCTAAGATAGTAATGGTTTCGAGGGAACAGAACAATGGTTCTTTACAAGAGAAGTTTCAATTGCTTCGTTCAGTCACTAATTCTCGTGCTGTAATTATATTCAACATCTTCTTCATTTTCTATTTGAATCCATTAGGATCTACTATTCTTGTATGCTTTTTGGGTAATCACTTTACCCTCTTCTAAGTTTATGCAGAAGAATATAAAATTGGAAACAAGATATATTGCTAATCAATCATGATTAATGAATTGAAGACATTGTTTACTCTTTCTCCTTTTCTTTGCTGAACCTCTAATAATATATTATATTTGGGATGATGTATATGCTACTAATATGTGTCCGTTCACTGCCCACGCATGTTTTTGATGACAGGATAACGAAACATTGATCATAATGGATGCATCGAACTATATCCAAAAGCTTAAGAAAAAGGTCAAAAGATTCAAGGACACTGCCGCAGAGCAAGCCTCAAGCGAGCCCACGGATCCCACCACACCAATGGTATAAACAATCACAAATATATACTTTGGAACCATTATATACATAATTAAGTGTCCAAGTGAATGTGAGAGATTCACTACGAGTTTTTGATTGGTCAATTTATTTATAGGTAAAAGTCCAAACCCTAGAAAAGGGTTTTATGATAAACGTTTTCTCAGGGAAGAATCAGCCAGGCATGCTTGTTTCGGTACTAGCAGCCTTTGAGGATATGGGGCTTGACGTTCTCGAAGCTAGGGTTTCATGTACCGACTCCTTTAGCTTGCATGCCATGGGAGTAAAGGTAATTAACAAATCATCATGAAAACATATCTGTATACATTAATGATATATCGTAATTACAGTTATTTATTTGCCTATTTATATATGTTCGGATAGTGTTTGTATGATTTACTCAATACAAATGAGCTCATTTTTATTTTTGAATGAGCTCACTTTGAGATAGTGTCATCATATGTTTTTATGAAATTTATATGGTTTCACTTACATATATATTGATAAAGCTTGTGTCATTGCTGGTGAAAGTTGATAAATGATAGTAGATTATAAAATAAAAGGGGCAGTACTCACCACACAGACACATGTATACAAAATATAAACATGGATTGTCGACGTCTATCTGTGAGTGTTGTCATAAACAAATGATTTGAATGATTACGTCACCTTTACTAATAGCAGAGCGAAGATGAGGAAAGAATGGATGCTGAAGCAGTGAAACAGGTAGTGACAGAGGCAATCACAAGCTGGGGTAAAACCAATGTTCCACATAGCTAGATTGACCCACTTTTTCTTTGATTCTCCTTTATTTATACAAAAAGATAATAACGCAACTTCTATAGTAATTCTGTTGTTTTTTTTTTTGTAACTGTAATTCTGTTATTTTATGTTCATCTTGTACCCAGAATTGTCCCCTAGAATAAGGCTAATGAAGAAAATGAATTGTACGTTTTCTATATATTCCACATAAGCAAATATAAAATACGTATTCAAAGTATAGTCGCCTAGCTTTGACCCAAAAAAAAAAGTATAGACTGTATAGTCGCCTAGCTGTAGATGATACATATCAACCGAGACAGTTAAAATTTTGTATTTTCAAAATTGAATATCAGAAAATCGAAAACATGCACTTGCATTATCTATGAATTTGGTAGATTATTTTTTAATTATTATTTCGGATTTGATAAGATGATTTAGATCACTTATAATACTATATACCACAGAAGAACACAAACGCATTTTATTCACGTGAGCAAAATAATAACTCCAGAATACCTGGAAAGTAACACGTACAACAAATACATACTTCCTACATGTTTGGCCTGTGCCAGTCTGACATTCTTTTTCATAAACAACAAACGTTTTTGGATGATTAGCTAGCTAGCTCTGATAATGTGATTGTTGACAAAAGCAGGGTTTTGATAATTTGATTTACATTAGCAGGAACAACGAGGTGAAAATACTAGATTAGTGTTTAACCGAGCTATAACTCTATCCAACTCGAACAAAGTACTTAATTGATGAAGTTGAATAAACTGTAATTTGATAACAGGAAAAACTAACATTAAATCCACAGTGAATAAGAACTTCAAAATGAAATTATCATAAACAACCAACGTTTCACTTTTGCATGAAACTGAGAAGCAACATTTTAGTTAAGTTTTGTCAAAAAAAAATTAATATAGTTATGGAATCTCAATTTGGCAGAAAAATATGAAGCCGCAGTTATGAAAAGTGAAAACAATAGTTTTTTTAAAAAATTAATGGACGTAAAACTTATGAAGAAATAAACCAAGAAAAAATAATACAACTAATGTCCATTTTCTTAAATTTTATTACAAATCCTTGAGTAGACCTTGTTGTCTTGTTTTATTGCAAAAGAATCTAAATTTCATGATTTGACAGATTGATTTTTGAAAGAAACAAAAATGTTCTCATTTATCACCAATCCGTGCTGAAAATCGTATTTCCACATGGTTTTGATCCATAATAAATTGATGAAAATAAAATAAAAACAAAAGTGTAAATAAATAATAATTATTTTCTAATTTGTAAAATGTATAGACTCATATAAAATTAAATCAGTCTAATTTATTAAACTAGTTTTGAAGATTCAACACTGATTTATTATTCTAAAAACAACACAAAACAAAACTGAATTTTCTTCAAGATTTTTCCTACTTCCTCATGTTTGCATGATCTTGGTCGAGCCTCTGGACAATATAGCAATAGCGACTGTTGTTACTTTTCTAGTCTGTTAACTCTGTTCACATGACCCCTTATCATTTGGACAGTAAGAGCCGGATTACTTTCCACAAACGACATGAACTTGCTCGAGTATGAAACCCCCTCCATGTGTGATATGATGAACTCAGAGACCTCATGTTCGAGGACCGTATCAGAGTGAATCTTTGCAAGCTCGAGTACATCAAATACATTTGTTGTGTTCAAGGAGACGATTAACAGGTTTCTGCAGAGATCTTGAAGGTGTGGAATTTCGTATATGTATGCAGCTACGTAGAGTATACGGACGTGTTGCCTCATCTTTGTATCGGGAAGCGAACCGTTGTATATGAAATCAAGAAACGTCTCTAGCTCATCATGTTTCATCTCTGAGAGAGTGATTGTCTCTTTCGACAAAGAAGCTTTGAAATCATCTGATTCCAATATGTTCCTGAACACCTTCGATCTTGCCACCTAATAATATATTTAAAATAAAAATCTCAAGTTAAGAAGAAGTAATTCACAATTAATCCATACACAACACTTAAAACTCCATAAAAGAATGAAAAAAAGTACCAAGATAATTTTGTGGGCGGGGATGGCATCCGTTTGATCTCCTGCTTTGAGCCATACGTCTTGAAATTGTTCCTTAAACGCGTTCATAAGTGCCCTATTGAATTCTACCTTGTTTGCAGCTTGTCTCTCCATTTCCTGGAAAGTAGAGCATCATATTTTTAGAACAATACATCCACTAGAACAAAAGAAAATAATACCAAGTTAACTTTGTGGAAAGGGATTGAATCCGTTATGGTTCCCCTGCATTGGACTTGCCTTTTTATTGGCGTTCTTAATAAGCTCCTCGGGCGAATAGATCACTCTGGATTTTTTAAATTTATTTGAACCCCATCTTACTTCTTTTTTTGTTCCTCTCCCTGTGGTACGACACGGCCACACTGGAAAATAGAATACATCGTTTAGCACAATGCATTCATTACCACAGAGTATAATGAGACTACGAACATCTCTACCTTGGTTTTGAAACCTATAATGAAGTCATTGTAATAGTCTACGATAAGCTTATTTTCTTGGCGAGAAAAGAAGAAGGTTATGTTTTGAAGCTTTAAAACAAAAAGCAAAGAAAAACCTTCCGGGTCAAAGTGATTCACTAGGTTATTATGTTTCTATTAGCTAGCAAGAAGAGACCATTTAGTAACAAACAGCGACATAACATATAAAAGACAAAGGCTATTAGAAACATAGGAAGATAGTAAGACAAGGAAAACAAGGTTTCTAGTGTCTAGAATTGAATCCTAACAAAAACAAAAACAAAACAAGAGAAAAGCAAAGAAACAAAGAAGAGAAGAGACTTATGAGACGGGATTTGCAGTTCGTGGAGTCTGGTTTCTTTGGATAAGACGAAGAGGCGGCCGCGTAAGAGAATAAACTGCTAAACGTTTCTGAAAACTAAAACGGAAAACCCTATATGTAAGGGTTTCGTCGGCTATAATTCTCAAAAGAATATTATATTAATATTTCATCATAATTTTATCATATATTTAAATTTTTATTTCAGTTTTAATCTCAACGAGAATTTATATAAATTGTCATACCAACACTTCTAGTTTGAGTTTTATTCGTCATCTTTTTTTTACTATATAAATCTTTATTTCTAATATGTCCTCGTGGGATAATGGTCTTTGACTGTTTATTTCAAAATATCAAAAGCATTGGATGGACAAAAAACAGTCTAGACGGATCATTTATAAATCGGACTCTACACAATATAACACAAATAAAATGATGAGAATAAAACACAGAACTGTAACTTAAAGATAAAATATCATTCCCTCATAAGAGTAAAATGTATAAAACTACACATATAGAAATCATAAATATTCTTTTAAATATTCTTTGTGTTTGCACACTCGTTCTTTATATGAGCCCGCTGAAGCCAAACAGTCGTCGAGTTTCTTTATTCTTCTTTTCTAGACGTTTTCTTTTTAGTTTTGTCACGTGACCTCTTATGGCTTGGACAGTAAGAGCCGGATTTCTCTTCACAAACGACATGAACTTGCTTGAGGACGAAATCTCTTCCATGTTTGATGTGATAAACTCAGAGACAGCGTCTTGAAGGATCTTGTCCGAATGAATCTTTGCAAGCTCGAGTACATCAAATACATTTCTTCTGTTCATCGAGCCGCTTAACTGGTTTCTGCAGAGATCTTGAAGGTGTGGAATTTCGTATTTGTCTGCAGCTAGGTAGAGTACACGGACGTGTTGCATCATCTTTGTATCCGAAAGGGAACCGTTGTATATGAACTCAAGAAACGTCTCTAACTCATCATGTGTCATTTCTGAAAGAGTGATTGTCTCTTTCGACAAAGAAGCTTTCAAATCATCTGATTCCAATAAGTTTCGAAACACCTTCGATCTTGCCATCTGATATATATATATATATATATATATATATATATATATATATATATATATATATATATATTGCAATAAAAAAAATCTCAAGTTAGAAGAAGTACGCAACACTAAGAGTGTGTCTAGCTGGTGGTTTAGACCAAAAAGTTGGTCTGACCCAAAGGTCAGAAACTCCTTTAGGTTAACAAAAAGGAAAAAAACTTCATAATAGAATGAAAAAAGTACCAAGATAAGTTTGTGGGCGGGGATGGCATCTGTTTGATCTCCTGCTTTGAGCCATACATCGACTTGACATTGTGTTTTAAGGGCGTTCATGAATCCCCCATCGAATTCCATCTTGTTTGCAGCTTCTCTCTCAGTCTGGAAAGCAGATATATTATCTTTTTAGGACAATAAATTCACTAGAAAATAAGAAAAATATTACCAAGTTAAGTTTGTGAAAAAGGGATTGCATCCGTTATTGCTCACCTGCGTTGGACTTGCCTTTTTATCGGCGTTCATTATAAGTTCCTCAGAGGGATACATCTTGTTTGCAGCTTCTTGTTTTACCACTCTGGAAAATAGAATAACTTCTTTTAAAGTGAGACTTGCAAACTAGCTAAGACTCATGTGGTATTCATCTACTAATATTTTGAGTTATAAGAAATTCACAGTAATAGTCTAGACATAAACTTGTCTTCTTGCAACAAAAGAAAAAGGTCATGTTTTGAATCTTTAAAACTAAATGCGAAGAAGAACCTTCCCGGTCAAAGTCATTCAATAACAAATAGCGACATAACATACCAACGTTAAAGGCTACAGAAACTCCGTAATCTAAACCGTAACTAGAAACAAAAGAAGATAATAAGACAAGGAACAGGGTTTCTAGAATAGAGCTAACAAAAACAAAATAGAGACAAAAAGTTCACCTCTAACAAAAACTAAATAAAAAGCAAAAAAAGAATGAGAGTTATGAGACGATGTACACAGAAGATTTCTAGATGGTGGAGACAGGTTTGCGATTACTTTGGAGGAGACGAAGCGGCGGCCGTGTAAGATAAGATTTTTGAGAAAGGATTGTAAAAAAACTAAAGTGAAAAACCCTATATATATATATATATATATATATATATATATATATATATATCGGCTACGATTCTCAAAAGAATATCTCAAAGAATAAAATGTTAATATTTCATTTTAATTATATTTTATATTCAAAATTTATTGATTTTTTTTAATCTCAGCGATTATTTATAAATTGACGCTTGGCAGCGATCACAAACCCTGCCTACCAGTAGCCTTTGGAGTATACACTATAGAGGTTCCACTTAAGTTTCCGATTTTCTTGTGCATGAAGGTTGAAGGGAACGAAATATTGGTCAGACATTAGCACTGGGAGAAGCATTACACTACAAGAAAAAGATGTGATCTCCGACAACCATATTAAACGGAACTTTGTCGGAAACGAGTGTTTCCTATCATTTACCGAGAATCAAATTTTTGTCGGCGTTTGACGGTCGGAAATATCCATTTCTCGGGAAATTCTCGGTAAATTCCGACCAAAATTATTGTCGGTAACATCTATGGGAAAATCGTCGGAACANCACTACAAGAAAAAGATGTGATCTCCGACAACCATATTAAACGGAACTTTGTCGGAAACGAGTGTTTCCTATCATTTACCGAGAATCAAATTTTTGTCGGCGTTTGACGGTCGGAAATATCCATTTCTCGGGAAATTCTCGGTAAATTCCGACCAAAATTATTGTCGGTAACATCTATGGGAAAATCGTCGGAACATACCAATGAATTTATGAAAAAACAATTCCGATGAAGTACCGACAAATGAATATATTTCAATAAAAAAAATATAATTAAAATTATAAAATATTATCACATAAAACAATATAATTTAAAATATAAAATATTTATTGCATAAAACTAAATACAGAAAGAACTAATCTATTATCTATCATCTACTCATCTAACATCTAGGAATTTGATAAGAAAATGTTGGTTAACAATAGTGGTGATAGTGGATGTGGAGTGAACGCAATGGAAGCAGTGGTAGGAGTGCAAGTAGAGGCAGTGGCAGTTGAAGAAGTTGCGACGGTGGCGGCATACAGAGTTCAGTGGTGGGAGTCGTGGTAGCGGTGGAAGGAGTTTCGGCTGTACGCGGTGCAAGTAGTCGGTGATGGCAGTGCAATGAGTTGCGGTGGAGGTGGTGATGAAAGGAGCTGCCGTGTTGATGGAGCAAAGAGGTGCGGTGGTGGTGGAGCAAGAGTTTCACGGTGGTTCTCTTTTGCTTTAAAGTAGATCTGAGATAAAAGAAGAGAGAAAAGAGGAGAAGTTAAAGAGATAACTCTTTTTGACCGTTCGTTTGCTTATATAAATAAGGTTTATCATGATTAATAAAAGGGTTTAATGCTAAAATACAGTTTGTACAGAGAATCTTTTCTCCACTACACGTTTCAGTTTCACCAAATTAAAATAAAAACTACAACTAAATATATAATCTGTCATCGAAAAACTAAAGAAATTAATTGCAAAGAGAAATATCACTAAAAATAATAACCGACCTTCTATACCGAGAAAAGTCCGATTTATTTCCGTTAAAAACTCTGGTGAAATACCGATAATTGGAATAGAGAATTTTTTGACAAAGTTCCGACAAATTCTTTAGAATATTCCGATAAAATAAAATTCTCGGGAATAGATTATTAATCGTGATAAGTTTCCGACAATTTATTCCTTCAAAATTCCGACAATTACGGTTCATCGGAAATTTTTGAGAAGTTTCCGACAAAACCAATAGTTTCTCGGCAATTCCTCACAAAGATGAAGCTAAATTACTGAGAACTCACTTTCTCGGAAACATTCGTCGGAGTTGACGCGTGTTTCTTGTAGTGNTAGATTATTAATCGTGATAAGTTTCCGACAATTTATTCCTTCAAAATTCCGACAATTACGGTTCATCGGAAATTTTTGAGAAGTTTCCGACAAAACCAATAGTTTCTCGGCAATTCCTCACAAAGATGAAGCTAAATTACTGAGAACTCACTTTCTCGGAAACATTCGTCGGAGTTGACGCGTGTTTCTTGTAGTGTTAGTTCAGGTATTTGGTATCTAACACGGTGTCAACAAAAACAAAAGATCATAATGATAAATATTAAAATGCAAAATATCTTACAAACCATAAGTTAAAAGAGACCAAACATATATAATGTTTCAAACAGAAGGATAAAATATGATTAAGAAAGCAGCAACCACGAGAGCGTACGTATACATACAGCCAAATGGTCTTGATGGGTGTTTTGTTTCATTATGTAAATTCTTGAACCACAGGTGTTAGAGTCTCATACTTACATGATCAGTAGCTGCCAACTCTTTCACATTATCTGCTATGTGAACATGTTCTTTGCCTCGAACAAGCTCAGTGCAAATAAGTTCTAGCGGTAAAGAAGCCCGTGTAATATATGAGCACGTGGAGCCAAACTTCACAAATATGACTTAAACATCTTCAGCCATTCCATTTAGAAGCATGATCTGGGTTGTCTTTATCCAAACCCACAAACATAAATTTTAAAAGATTCACAACTCATTCGTTACCCAGTGTCGAACTTCTTTAGCCGCCTGAATGAAGAGCTTTGGAGCGTTCTGTACACTACTAATCCCATGAGTAAAACCGTCTTAATTGACATCAAAAGGGGAATCTGTTAACAAAATTACTAGTATCCCGGTGTGTATACTACTACTATTCTCTTGCTGTGACAATAGAAACTAGTGTCTTGCTTCAAGTGAAATAATTATTTTTAAGTCTGTTGGTTCATGAAACTTCTTATCTCAGAGTTACCATTTATTGAGTAGTTTCAGTTTTGTTGTCAAAACCGGATATCAGATTTGTTGAAGAGTGGGAGAAAGGTGTCAACAGAAACAAAAATATCATAATGATAAATAAATGAAAAACATCAACCATCTTATTTTACAAACCGCAAGTTAAAAGAAAAGAAAACTAGACAAAACATAATGTTTTAAACAGGACAATATATAACAAATAAGATTTAAGAGAACAACAACAACCACGAGGGGAAAGCAACTCCACCGAACAGAACCGAGAGAGCTTATTGTTTGCAAGCCTTAGGGGAAGCAAAGGACATCTCGAGGATTCTGGCAAATTCTGGAGTAATTTTAACACCCTCGGAAGTGCATGGGGATGTATCCCGGGGGAGAGGGTCACCTCTCACCAAATAATCGGCTGTGTATTCCCAATGATCAGATTCTTCAACTTTACTATAGCCAATGGCATGCAAATAGGTGGTGAAGGATGTCATATCTTTGTGATCGAAGGGTAAGCGACTAGGAAGAACATCTCCGAGGAACTTAGATTCATTCCAAACGATGAAACTCTTGCCGCTCTCACTCCACGAGACAACTGAATCAGTTGAAGGATCATCCACCATATCGTAAACGTCATGGATGAAAAGAGGACGGCGTCGAACTGATGAGGAAAGATAAGGACGCTCCTTCTTGTAAATTCTCCACATCTCTTTGTAGCAAGAAAGGCTGCTCAAGAGAATAAGTCCATCATCCACGACCTAATTAACAAACACAGCATATTAAAACTATAGACAAAACAAAGGAAAACTGGCCAAAAAACAAAAAAAAATTATGAACCTTCTTGGTGGTGGTCTCAATCTTTGAGATGAGAGACGGTTTAAGGTCAGGCTGACCTCTCATAAAATAAGGGCATGTATATTCCCATTGCTCATGAGATTGTGAAAAGCCCAAGTGTACGAGGCACCCTCTCGGAAGAACAGCTTTTCTAAACTCCACTTCATCCCTAATGATGAAACTCTTGCCGCTCTCGCTCCATGCAACTATTGAATCTTTTGTAGGATCATTCACCGTCTTAAGCAGTTCACTTCGGTAATAAGCGATCAATTCTCTGTTAGACTCACAATCCATCCCTTCCTCCTACTTAATGAACCCTAAATCAGAAAACACACGATCTTATAAACTCTAGTTATAAACAACACACCAATAAAAAAAAACATTCTCTAATCATATTACAATACAAAGAAAACGTATAAATTAAGTCGAGATCCTAACCTGATTTGATGTAAAGAGATTTCTAGGTCGTGGAGACTGGTTTGCGATTACTTTGGAGGAGACGAAGAGGCGGCTGTGTAAGAGAAGATTTTGAGGAATAATTGTAAAACCTAAAGTCATATATATAAGAGTTCATAGGCTACGATTCTAGAAGAATATCTCAAAGAATAAAATGTCACTATTTCATTACAATCTAAACTATTAAAAGTAAAATACAAATTTAAAATATTTCTTAATTTTTTTCAATAATTTTTTTCTTATACTGTTGGATTATTTTGTCATTGACTTGTAATTATAGTTTATCAAAATTTAAGTGTTTTAATAAAACTAATATTCCACCTACCTACTTATTATAAGGAATTAATCCGTATATAAAATTCTAATTACGAGAATTTTTATTTTTATAGCATAACTAGGTGTTTTGCCCGCACCTGCGGGCTTAATTATTTTTAAGACAATTAAAAAAATCATCAAAATAAATGATTATTTTTATCCCAAAAATTAGACCTGAAACATTAAACGTTTTTACATGATAAAATTATTCATAAATTAAAAAAAAAAATCTATTTTTCCCTTTAAAACTTTGAAAAAAAAATCTAAAATCTGTTTCATTTCTTCTCAATTAATAAAAAAAATATAGAAACCTATCTTTCAATTTGATAAATTGAATCATTAAATATACACTCAAAAATTGATCTTACAGAAAGAATAATATTAGTTGGGATAATAATATAATATATTTGAATTTATTTTGTCAACAACGTATTTTTTTCTTTTTAAATGATATTTTATTTTATTATGATTAATTCATGTTTAATGTTATACTATATAAAATATAAAATAAATTTAATTTAACGTGATGATTTTTTATTAAAATATATTATCCGGATAATAACACAATATATATAGGAATTATCTTTTTCTTTTTAAATATATATTTAGATTATGGATAATTCTTATCATTATTATTAATTTAAATCATTAATCTAATCAAATAAATATTAATTTCGTTTTTATTTATGTCTAATTTATATATTTTATTCATTAAGTGTATAAGTGATATTAACCACTCCAACTTTTAATGTGAGAGCTCCATTGCGAAAAATTACTTCGCAAATAATAGTATAGATATATTGAAAATTTTAATTATTATATAGTAATAAATCTTTTTTTGGTCAAATAGTAATAACTATTAGTCATTATATAGTAATAAATCTAATTAGTCATTAAGTTTATGTTTTCTTTGTCATTAAGGGTAGTAAAAATCATAAGAACATGACAATTAGATTTACTATCCTTAATGGCGAAGCAAACAAAAACTTAATGACTAATTAGATCTATTACTATATAATGAATAATTAGATTTATTATAATCATTAGTCTAGATAATGATAATCATCAAATCATAAGTAACATGACAAATAAGATTTGTTTCTAATTATTATATAGTAATAGATCTAATTAGTCATTATATAGTAATAAATCCAATTAGTCATTAAGTTTATGTTTACTTTGTCATTAAGGGTAGTAAATCTAATTAATATACGGTTCATAATTATATATAATAATTTTATTTAGTCATTAATTAAGGGTAATAATTAATCATTAGTCAAAATCATAAAAACATGATAAATAAGTATAATTACATAAAATTATAGAGAATATGAAAATTCACTTTTTTAAATATAATTAATTTATTGTTACTTGTATATTAATTCAGTTTTAGTTTATGGTTTATTAATATCAACTATTTTTAGATAATAATAGTCACAAATCAGTGAAATTTGTTTCTAATTTATGGTTGATTATATATTAATTAAATATATTTTCTGATAACAACACAATATATATAGGAATTATCTTTTTATTTTATTTTTAAATATATCTATAGGTTATGGATAATTCTTATCATTATTATTAATTTAAATTATTTATCTAATCAAATAAATATAAATTCGTTTTTTTATTTTTGGTTGATTTATATAGTTTATTCATTAAAGGTATAAACGATATTAACCACTCCAGCTTTTAACGTGGGAGCTCCGTTGCGAAATTTTTTTTATTTTTATAGCATAATCCTTATCGTAAGACTTTTAATAAGCACAAATATAAAAATTTAATTAATTACAACTAACCAAGTAATCCAGCTATTAAAACTAAAAGGAATGTTTATAATAACTTCAAAATATGTATATTTCTTACTAAAAATATGTATAATAAACATGTATAAATTTATAGTAAAAAATATCAAGAATATTATGCCACATCCTGGACGTAGTTCAACAGTCACGTCCCAAATAAGCAGATTCTCATACTACATGATCATTAGCTGCCAACTCTTTCACATTATATCTGCTATGTGAACATGTTCTTGGCATCGAACAAGCTCAGTGCAAATAAGTTCTAGCCGTAAAGAAGCCCGTGTAATATGAGCACGTGGAGCCAAACTTCAGCAATATGACTTAAACATCCTAAAGCCATTCCATGTAGAAGAAGCATCTGGTTGTCTTTATCGAAAGACAACAAACATGAATTTTAAACAATCGATAAAACAACAAGGTTTCCACTTGCCAGCTCATCACCATGTACGTTTAACTCAAAGCACACGATAAAATAGATTAAGTTCAGGTATTTTGTGTCAACAGAACAAAAAGATTATAATGATCATCTATCTTATTGAAAAAAAAAAGAAATCAACCATAAGTTAAAAGTAAAGAGAGACCAAACATTAATGTTTTCAAACAGAATTGAAGGATAAAATACGATTAAGAAAACAACAACAAACACGAGAGAGAGAGAGCAAAGCAACTCCACACCGAGAGCTTATTTATTTCGGGAATGCCTCTCGAGGATTCTGGCAAATTCTGGAGTAACCATAAATTGCTCATATCTGGATGGGGATGTACTCTTAGGAGGGGGAGGCTGGCCTCTCACCAAATAATTGGCTGTGTATTCCCAATGCTCGGATTCTTCAACTCTAGTATAGCCACTGGCACGCAGCGAGGTGGTGAGGGATGTCATATCTTTGTATACGTAGTAGGGTAAGCGACTAGGAAGAACATCTCCGAGGAACTCAGATTCATTCCAAACGATGAAACTCTTGCCACTCTCACTCCACGAGACAACTGAATCAGTTGAAGGATCATCCACCATATCGTACACTTCTCTGAGGAAAAGGGGGCGAGGGCGTCGATTTGATGAGGAAGCGGGACGCTCCTTCTTGTAACGTCTCCACATCTCTTTGTAGCAAGAAAGGCTGCTAAAGGGAACAAGTCCTTCATTGCTACTGTCCAAGCCCTAATCAACACAAGACCATATTTAAAATTATAAACAAAAACAAAACATAAAATAAAAAAAATATAAACCTCGTTGTCGTTGTCGGTCTCATCTTGTGACGGTCTTTTAAGAAGGTCAGGCTGACCTCTGATAAAATAAGGGCATGTATATTCCAATTGCTCATGAGATTTATGAGATAGTGAAAAGCCCAAGTATCCAAGGCACCCTCCGGGAAGACCAATAGCTCTTCTAAACTCCACATCATCCCAAACTATGAAACTCTTTCCGCTCTCACTCCACGAAACTATTGAATCTTTTGAAGGATCATCTACCATCTCATACAATTTACTTCGGCGATCACTGACAAAGGTTTCTCTCTCTTTACGAGACATCCCTCCTCCTCCTCCTAATGAAACCACCCTAAATCCAAAACACATGACCCCGCCAGTTATATAAACATTCTTCGCAGTTCATATTACAATCCGAACAAAACGTATTGTATTGTATGATGAAAGTCGAGATCCTAACCTCTTCGATTTATTTGATCAAAAAAAAAGAACCTTCGATTTGATGTTGTTCCTTCCTCTGAAACCAAATGCTAACCCTAAGGCCTAAGCTAATGCTACTCAACTAGGCTTATTTTATACGAAACAACTAAGGCCCATCCACCGGCCCGTATCCGCCTTAATTGGTTGGCCCATCTTTCCTTTTCCACAATGCAATTTCACTAACTAAACCACCTCTTGTAATTTAATTTATACCCTAAACTGAATTTAACAGCTACAAGCCTACAAACTACGTTGTTAGATTGATAACAAACTATACCCGAAAATTGAATCCAATTCTCTTAGTATTTTCTTTTGTAGTTGCAGTTTTGTTATACTATTGTAGTGCCGTGCGAAGAGTTATTGAGACCTAAGGCAAGTTTTCTTTTTTTGAACATGGTAAGGCAAATTTTTATATAGAAACCAGAATAATACAATAATATAGAAAAAAAGTTGAATTCATTGAAGAAGTTGGTCGAACTCAACTGGAAGTGGTCTTTGAAAAATATCTAAACCAATATATTAGGAGTGATTTATCGATTTAGGGCCCAAATAATTTTATATTAATCGGGAGCCTAAAACAAATGCTTTTTTTCAATACACTGTAGCGCCCCTGACTATTGTGGTACAGTATATGAGTTTTTCCTCCTAAATCTACTTTTAGCTACCCTTTTATCTTTGATGTTTCAGATGCAAGGGAAAGCGTAAGGCAACATATTATCGAGAAGCAAAGAGCTTTACTTCATAGAGATCGATGGATTTGAGGTGCCAAGAAAAGTTGAGGTAAAATCTAGCACCAGTCTAGAATAGAGAAGTAAATATTTTAATTCTTTTTGTGTTCTCATCCTAAAGAAGACAGACAATGGTCCACAAGCAAAGTTTCGTGATAGCCTCTGTTTAATTGGCCCATTAATACACGCATGTCCACCTTTGCGTATATGGTTGTAGGTAAACATGAAAGGGCAGAAGCAGAGCTATAATTATAGAAAGTTTAGGAATCTTTGAATGGTGGAACCAACAAGGTCCTGTTTAGTAGAGTGATCTGTAGGAAACATTATCTTTAACAGTTTTAACAGTATGTACCACTTTGCCACTGACTATGTTGTGGTCAAGAGAAGTAGAGAGTAATATGAAGTGAGAAAGAATCTCTTCTTATTAGTGTTATACGTATTTTTGACCCTTGAATTTTCTCTCACTGTCCTTCTCATAGATATCTCTATAGGTAAGATAAACTTACCTCAAGATCATGCTTCAGCTCTCTGCAAGTTGCAATATGTAGCCAACGAGCATGCCTGTCAATTGTCAAATCGTTTTCAAACTTAGCCTTAACGTTGGTGCACTTATTTTTTGATCATTTACTCTCTTTTGTACTGTTTGTTCTGCTATCACGACTCTTGATCAGATGCTGCCAAATCGTCTCTAGTTTTTATAGGATGTTTCTGGACTTGTTTTTGGGGATTGTTCACAAAGTTTTCTGGACCGAAAATGTCATCGAAAGATTCAGAATTGTAGGAAATGTTGAATCTATGGAATTTTGAAGAGTTTATGTTATGTTTTATGAACTTAAATTATGTAAATCTCACTAACCTTTTTCCTAAATTAATTTACCATTCCATCATATACATATGGTTTTATTAGTTTTACAAACCCACATAAGATAGTGACCCCGTTGCCGAAATGAAAGAAGTAAAGTTAGGCTAGCGCATGGAAAAACCCACGTCGTTTCATAATTATTTGGAGTCTGGACCAATGTCATTGTATAGTGCAGTTTTTTATGGTAAAGTCAAATTTAAAAATCTTTCCTTCTTTAGTTATATTTGTTACGTGTTGTTCTCGGCATCTCATGCTCCATAATATCTGAGCTCATCAAATAACAAAACCATTTCGTCATTTTTGCAAATGTTTTTTGGGATTTTTTTTTCACGATGTATCTAATGCAAATAAATGTATTTACGCTTCATACAAATTCATACAATCATTTTCTTGAGCTCGGAATGTTATTTGAATTATTAGACATAACAATTTAAGCTTAGTTCTAGCTATCAGATATTCAGATTCGTGTAAATGGTAAATAGGGAATATGCTACTGAAAATTTAAGATGTAAATGTAAGGTATAACAAAAGATATTAAGCTGTTAGATGCATTAATTGAGAATGCATCATAACTCATAAGCTCTATGCATGTTTCCCTTTTCTCTCTTTGTAAAGACAATGGGGCATCAAGGCTTAACTCCTAAGGTGGGGGCAAGATATCAATAGCTTTTTGGACCACCATTTTTCTCTCTATCGTTCCAATTCTATTGGATGCATCAAACGCGTCTTTGGACCACATTCGATCCCTTTTGATTTTCACTGCAAATTTTACTTTCTTCATGTTACAAATAGGATGGCAATGTCTTAAAAATTTACTTTCGATCCAAGTTTTATCACGAATAGACGTTTTGTGACGAGAATATCCGGATATTTGGTCTTGGTTCCTAGCTAGGGAAACAGTTTGAGCCTACTATCAAATAGGACTTGAAACCCGAATAGACAATTTTTTAACGTGCCTTTTTGTTAGTTCAGTTATAAAAAGTAAATAAATAATATATATTTACAACTCCTGAAACATAATAAACGAAATGAGGATATACGAAATTTAACTTAAGATAGTTTTTTTTGGTTTAGATATACAACTAATATCATTCATATGTAGTATTGGAGAAGAAAAGTTGCTCTTAATTTTGTATCTTTAAATTATATGAAGACATCAAAAGTTTTTCAAAACACACATTTACATAATGAAATTATCCTTGGGAAACGGGGAAACTATATTATATACAATCTACGACATGTTTGTTAGTAATATATATATATATATATGTGTGTGTGTGTTGAAAACACTGATTATATTTTTGCTCCAACTTTCTTATACGCCACTCAAATGTGTGCCTAGAAAGAACATACGGCAAAGAAAGGTTGTGAGTTCTGTACAAGGAAAAAACATGAAATTAATACGATTTATTGAGTGATCTCTTTTTCTTTAGTGACAGGATGACATATGTTTATTGAGTAATTTTTATCACTAGAACTCAGAAAAAAATGTCATCATCGGAACCTGTTGCTGACCAGAAATTTTCGGCTCAATATATATGACTTTTAATTTGTATTCTCTACCATTTTTGACGTATAATACAGAATGGACCAATTAAATATTGTATATACTATCCAATGGTTTATAATGTGATGATGGTGGTTACATGATCAAGATGATGATGATGACAGCATTAATGAAAAGGAAACAAAAGATCTAGCGCTGGCGTTATATATATCACATACTTGTTCTTGTAAAAGAGTAAGACGAGAGCTAAGCTATTCTTTAAACCTTGTCTTTAAATCGTTTTTCTTCAAATCCTCATTAATAAAAACAGAAGAGATACCATGCAACCTTAAACTGTTTCCCCATAGTCTATCTTCAGAGACCTGACCTCTCATAGCTCTTTTAATTCTCACAACATTTCCAAAAATATCCCCAATATTATCAAAAAGTTTACAAATATTTAATAAACTGATGGAAGCTGCAAAAGTCTACACACAAGATGGCACCGTCGACCTCCAAGGCCGTTCCGTCCTTGCGTCCAAGACCGGCCGTTGGAAGGCTTGCTCATTCCTCCTCGGTAATTTAGTAATCTCAAGTCACTATTTTCATCATAGCATAACAGTTAAAATGATTTTAATGGATTAACGAGCATATTAATCACCTCAGTTTAATTTATTCACAATCTTAATATAGTCTTGTATGTGTATGAGAAGGGTATGAAGCGTTTGAGAGGATGGCGTTTTACGGAATAGCTTCAAACTTGGTGAATTATTTGACAACAAGACTTCACGAAGACACTATCTCCTCGGTTAGAAATGTGAATAATTGGTCAGGTGCCGTTTGGATCACGCCGATCGCCGGAGCTTACATCGCCGACTCATACGTCGGCCGCTTCTGGACTTTTACTGCCTCCTCCCTCATCTACGTCCTGGTATTTCTACCATCTCTTCTTTCTTTTATTGTTATTATATTAAACTGAAACTAAAACTATATAGTAACGATTTCACAACGTTTAGTGAAAAAAACTTATATATGCAGTTAGTTATACAATCTCTCTATTGTGCTTATGACAATTGAAGTTTCAAGTGTCCTTCCATTTTTATATTTACATTGAAAAAGATAGTTTTGGTTCGTCATGATAAAGTACCAGAGATGTGTGTGTTTGTCGAGTTCTGGAGGTACGATCTGATAAGGTCCGTGAATATTTATCCAAGAAGACACTGCCACAGAAAATATATTCAACGTATTAAATATATTGAGGATAATATGAATAACGTGAAAATGTTATTAAGAAGGATCAGAGTTTTCCATAATATAGGAATTCTCATTTTAAGAGAATATTTAAAGTATGAGAAATATCCCATATTTGCATAAATCAAATTAAAAAAAAATTGTATACTTTTAATCAAGATACATAATATCTATAAATTTAATAATATATACTTATCAAAAAACAATTTAAGAATATATGTGTTTAAGAAAAAACGGTACAATAGATATTGCACATTAATATTTAGAAGTTAATTTGAGAATGAGCAGAATTGAGTATTTATAAATTTTATGTATATATAATAAAATTTCTATAAATTAATAATGTTGAAACTACATCAAAATTATATTTTTTATTAGTTTATAAAGATTATTAATTTATCGATATATTAATTGATCAAAAGTTTAATTTAAAATTATAAAATATATTTTTTATAGAATTTTTTTGTTTATATTAATTTATTGAATATTAATTTAAACAGATTATACTGAAAGTCCTATATTAGTGTATGTAGCAGTTAATATTAGCCAATAATATGTTGGGTGCATATTTACTAAAATTAAACGAAAGTAAAGTTTGTATCTCTGCACGACAATTAATGAGTTTTTACATCACCCTGACGGCTCTTTGACAGCGCTGATGAGATTTATATCAGTTGTTCAGAATGCCGTTAAAAGACATCAACAATTGTTGTTCTTTCTTACAAAACTAGACCTTTCTGTTTCTGATCATTTGCCACAGCCACATGCTTGAGGTCTAACACGTTTCTCTACGTCTATGTAGACGACGTGCCAGAGTTTTAGCCACCAGTTAGCGCAAACGCCATTTTTATTTATTTTTGAGATTTGCTTATAATGTTGTTCGTCTGATACGTTGTTTTCCGTACATATTCAAGAGGGCCCACGGTTTCCACTTTACTTCATATTTATTGGTTTTCCAACAAACACGTATCTTATTAAGATCTTTTTTTTTTTTTTTAAGTTTTGGTTTCCACTTTACTTTATATTTATTGGTTTTGCAATAAATACGTATCTTATTAAGATCTATTTTATAAAAAAAACTTACCAGATCCAATCAAGAAATGACTTTTTGAGCACTCTTACTAGGACATATATAATGAAAAACTCAATAACTAGTCAAAGTTTATCCAAGTTGATGAACATTTGATTTCCTGTCTATTGAGCATGCTGCCATTGAGACATGTCTCATGAAGTGCCCTTCTACCAGTAAATTGCAAGTTTGCTAGGATTTCAAATGGTTTCAAATATTTTATAAGATGTGAACACTAAAAAAGAAAAAAAATCTATATATATATATATATATATATATATATATTTACGTGAAGAAATTTGGAATTAAAACCAGTGGAGATGGTTCCTTGCAAAAATGAAAACAAACAAAACTATATATCATGTTTTTGCTTGCAGGGGATGATTCTCTTAACAATGGCGGTAACGGTAAAATCATTAAGACCAACATGCATCAATGGGGTATGCAACAAGGCATCATCTTTGCAAATTGCATTTTTCTACACGTCTCTCTACACCATAGCCATAGGAGCGGGAGGAACAAAACCAAACATTTCTACTTTTGGAGCAGACCAATTCGACAATTATAGCACTGGAGAGAAAAAACAAAAGGTTTCATTCTTCAATTGGTGGATGTTCAGCTCCTTCTTGGGTGCACTATTCGCGACACTAGGGCTTGTCTACATCCAAGAGAATCTTGGATGGGGCTTAGGTTATGGCATCCCTACAGTAGGGCTCTTGGTTTCTCTCGTTGTGTTCTATATCGGAACACCGTTCTACAGGCATAAGGTTATTAAATCAGACAATATAGCCAAAGATTTGGTTAGAGTCCCTATTGCAGCATTCAAAAACCGAAATCTTCACTGTCCTAGTGATCTTTTGGAGCTTCATGAACTTGACTCCCATTATTACAAAAGTACTGGTAAACATCAAGTTCATCACACTCCCATATTCAGGTTAGTGTTACATAACATCTCATCATTGAATTGTTCTATTTTAAATTCTAATTCTAGAGAAACCGATAATCATTATATAAAAAGAAGAATAAAAAATAAGAGGATGGTTGAAGCTTGATTCCTTGGCAGAGAATTATAAACTTCCAGTAGGACCATTTGATAAAGAATCTACCAAAATTGTGCCTTTGTCTCTGGTGGGTATAATGACGTGGACAGTACCGGTCCTGACATGAGAAAGACCAGAAGCAATTTTTTTAAAATTGACCATTTTTATAAGAACGTTTATATATTATAATAATAATTTCTTATAAAAATGCTGAATTTTTTAAGTATTTTTGAGGGCCGGAAGCGGTTGATTGTAATGATTCCCCTCAGGGCCGGTACTGGACGTGGAACATATGCAATGTTAATATTGAAATGATGTTATGTGAGTAGCTTACTTTGTGGATAATATGCATATTAAGTATCAAACATTAGTTAGGGAACGGATAAGACATATACCTCCACGGAGGTATTTTTTATGGCTAAAATAATCTAGACATATATTACATAGAATCTACATCTAGAAATGTTCACCTTTTCACTGACGTTTATTTCTAGACATTTCCTAGAAAAATGTTGGACAAGACATAGAGTCATGTTTTGAATGAATAAATGAATAATTTGGGTATTTATTGCTTATACAGGTTCTTGGATAAAGCGGCCATTAAGACAAGTTCGAAGGAGACACCTTGTACGGTGACCAAAGTGGAAGTGGCAAAGCGTGTACTAGGGCTTACCTTAATATGGCTTGTCACTTTAATCCCAAGCACCTTATGGGCACAAGTCAATACTCTCTTCGTCAAACAAGGAACTACACTGGACCGGAAAATCGGATCAGACTTCCAAATCCCTGCGGCTTCCTTGGGAAGCTTTGTCACCCTTTCAATGCTTGTCTCAGTGCCAATGTATGACCAATACTTTGTTCCCTTCATGCGCAAGAAAACTGGAAACCCTAGAGGGATCACTATACTCCAAAGGCTAGGGGTAGGGTTTGTGATCCAAATTGTTGCAGTTGCGGTTGCTTCTGCCGTAGAGGTCAAGAGGATGCGTGTAATAAAGGAATTTCATATAACTAGCCCAAAAGAAGTTGTGCCTATGAATATTTTCTGGTTGCTCCCTCAGTACTCTCTTCTAGGCATTGGGGATGTGTTCAACGCGATTGGTTTGCTTGAGTTTTTCTACGATCAGTCACCTGAGGAGATGCAGAGCCTTGGAACAACGTTTTTTACTAGTGGAATCGGTGTAGGGAACTTCTTGAACAGTTTCTTGGTTACAATGATTGATAAAATCACGAGTAGAGGGGGAGGGAAGAGTTGGATTGGGGATAATTTGAATGATTCTAGGCTAGATTACTATTATGGGTTTCTAGTGGTGATTTCGGTTGTGAACATGGGCTTGTTCCTGTGGGCAGCTAGCAAGTATGTTTACAAGAGTGATGATACGAAAGAGTTTGGTGGAGGATGTGTTCAAATGGAGACCAAAGCCTTTGACACATCTCCGCTCACTCTTTGATTATGACAAGAAGAGATGTGTGTAAATATATGTTTTTTAGAAAATTTGTAAGGTGTGGTATTTTGGTTAACATAATATGAATAAAACTTTAGTGTTTATTCTAATCAATCAATTAAAACTTGGAAGAGCCAAGATGTTTCTTAAGTTCTGTGGTTTTGTTTTGTTTTACTTGTTGAACACCCAACTCGATTCTCATATATATACTTGAACACTGAAGACTTCACACTGAAAAAAAGAGTTAATTACCTCAAAAATGGTTAATTTAGAAACCAACGAGTCTCTGCCTTAAGATTCAAACCAATGATATAAACTATTCACTTGGAAACTTTTTAACTTAGTTTAATCTTATTTTCCTCTTAGTATTGTGATTCACACGATTGGAACTGTACCAAGTGGAATAGTATGTTCCCTAAGAGCAAGGGATAATTAATAAGTGACATAGTATGAAGCAACCGTGACACTGGACCAAACGTACATAACATCACATCCTATAAGGATTTTATCTTTGAAAGCTTTCTAACCACAAAAGTTCTAGTCGATGGTCTTTAAAATAGGGCTGGGCACTAATACTTGTTACTTGTCAATACTTGCTACTTGATTCGTACTCGGTTTGAAAAATCAAGTACTTGACATTTTCAAGACAAGTAACAAGTATGCAAATCATATTATTTGCAAGTACAAGTCAAGTATCAAGTATCACAATTATTTTTAATACCCGATTCGTTACTTGTTTTTTTAATTTAATATTGATTCTAAAAATTTTTACTACCCCTTAATATACTTGTTTTACTACTGTTATTGTAATAAATTATTTTTTTAGCTTTTTAAGTATTTAGTATAATACATACTTATATTTAATGAATTATATATACATGCACTAAATCAAATAACTTGAACAAACTAAACAAAACAACAAATATATGAAAAAATATATATATTCCAAGTTAACCAAAACTTATATCTTTTAGTATATTTAATTTTCATAAATCTAAACCTAAATAAACAAGTATCAAGTATTATCAAGTAATTTGCAAGTATTTAAAATATAGACAAGTGCTTAATTAGTTAAGTACTTGACCGAATCAAGTATAAGCACAAGTAAAAAAATTTAATACTTGCACCAAGCAAGTCAAATAGCGGGTATAGTAAAAACTCCAAGTACCCGGCTTGCGCCCAGGCCTACTTTAAAATACAACAAAGGTTTATGCGATTAGATTTCCTAGCCTGACTTCTGAGTCCGACTTTTTCAGTTTTCAATAATATAATAATAACATGTATAAAATGGGTTTGAAGTCGAATGATATGTCTTGCATAAATATGTCGATAATTTATTTGGTAACTATATGTTACTTTTGTCTAAGCTCTGAAACGAATTTTATTTTGAAATTTCTAAACAAACAACATTACCACCCAACATTGTTTGCATTAATATGGTTAGCAATAAGCTGGATTGATTAATTAGATACGCTAAGGAAACCACGAAAATAAAACTAAATTAAATTAAATGAGTTTGTAATAACATACAGCTGACATTTCACCCAACCAATAAACACTACTCCCTCCGTTTCAGAATATATGTCATTCTATACTTATTTTTTTGTCACAAATTAAGTGTCGTTTTAGAGTTTCGAGGCAAAATTTATTAGTTTTATATAATATTCTATTTTTCTATTGGTTGAAAAGTGGTTAGGTGTATAGAAAATTATGTTTTTATCTTGGAAGTATGTAAAATTAAATATATTCTTAATTTGTGTGCAAAAAACTAGAATTACAAATAAAGTGAAACGGAGGGAGTATGTATACACATATTGTGCGGATCCAAAGCCAGCTATCGCACAAAATTTGGTGCAAGTAGCTATCCTAGAATTAACCAATACTAGTATTATATGTTGTCTGGATTTTAAAATAACAAAAAGAAATTCGGTCAAGTATGCATGACTATTTAACTGAATTTAAGCTACTCTAAACTAAAATGCAAATACGCGTAGTTTATAAAGATTTAATTAATGAATAAGGAAATTATATTTTCTAGTATATAGGATCTCAAATATATATGTAGACTTCCACTCTTTTACTTGACTTCCACTTTATAGGCCTAAAAACAATGTTTTCAACCTCATATGAATAGTACCATTTTCCAACCAAAGAATATGAATATTGATCGATTAGGTCAGGCTTTTGAACATCAACATTCATCCCTTATATTTATTTAATTTGATTAACCGCCCGCCACAAATTATCGAAATAAATTATATGTAAGTGTATGCGTCTATAGAATGATTGAAATAAATTTTAACCGAAGTAGGAGTTGTTCTCACTTTCAATGTCGCCATATTCTAATGGTCTTGTGGATGGTTGAGAGAAAACACAAGAAGAAGATGGAGGAGGCTGAGGATGAGCCGCCGTAGGTTGCGGAGGAGTTGACGGTGTTTGTGGCTGTGGTGGAATGACGGAGACGCCGCTAGAGTTATGAAATCCGGTGACTTGAGAGTTGGAAGGTATGATCAAAGTGGTGATAGCTTCTCGTTGATTGTACTTGAGTATCTCGGATCGTACGGCCGTGAGCTCGGCTTGTAAAGCTTGAACTTGGTGTTGTAGAGCTGAGATTGCTCCCATGCATCCGTATATCGGATCTCTTAGCCTCACGTTTGCTTCATACACGAGACTATTCGCCGCGTCTGCTCTCTGGCTTTCTGGTACTTCCTGGTTTGGTTAAAATTGTTTCACATTATGAGATATATAATGTTTTAAAATATTTATCTTTTTGACGGAATCAAAGATTTCATATTTAAAAAAAAAATGAATTTAGTAGACATCATCCTTGACATTAATCAACATAGATGATATGATCATGAGAATAAACGTGAATCAAACTCGAATAAAACAAGAAAATTTAAGGAGTTTGTATATTAATTATGTCATGAATACATATATGTACAATTATTTATGTCCGTATTTATATAATTTCAAAACTATTTTTTATTTTATAAAAATTCATTATTTACAAATAACAGTTTTCCTAATACTAAAGATATACCTAGATTTAACTCACTTTAGAATCAACAATCTATATATTGTTATAAAACTATATTGGGTTTAATTTGCATGCTTAGATTATGATTATATTTGGGTGGTTTTGAAATGGTTATTACCATTAGCATCTTGGAGACGTTGCTAGCTCCAAAGACTTTGTGGACAGATGCGAACTTATGAGGCTCATGTGGGGAGAAGTAAGGTGAAAAGGGACATTCTTGAGCACATCTACGGCGCAAAAGCTTACAAGCCGCACAAGGAGTAATGGTGTTGAGGCTCCCCGGAGGACTTGCCATTGGTCTTCTGATTCCTGCCATCTGATGAGGCCAAGCATCTGTGTCTCTTTTGATCTTCTTCCCTATCTCTTCAAATCTCTCCCTAAACACAAGGAACCGAGGAAGAGCTTTAGTTTGCACGAAAACAAAAGGTAGAAAACAACAATATCCACCAATTTGAGGGAATAAGGCTTAATAATTGTAAAAGAGTAAATGGGTTTCACTAATGAGATGTTCACTTTTTACCTTTCTCTTGACATTCAGGCATGCTCTTAGAGGATCGGAAAGAAAAGAGAGAAAAGTAGAAAGAAACAAAAGGAGAAGTATTAAAGTCAAGTCTCTTACGAGGGTGTGAAGGAAGATAACCAAGGAAGGCTTTAAAGGCAAGTAAAAGTTTAAGATTTAGTGATGAGGATAGTTATATGAATGTATATATGCGTTATTATATATAGGTATATAAGAAAAGCTTGAGCTGGCTTGTAATAATAGAACTTTTTGATGGAGATGAAAAGGGTTTGGTAGCTTGAGAAGCAGAATAGTGTCTCTTTTAAGATGAAAACAACTGAAGATATTATGTACTATGTAGTTAGTGATGACTAAAGAGCTGTATTTACTGCTTAAGCACGTGACGTGAGCCCGTGAGAGGTTTTAGAAAAAATAGTAAAAAGTTGGTAAAGGATTTAGAAAAAATATTGTTGTACTTTCTGTATAAAAAGAGTGAATGAGAATGATAGTTTGATGATATTTTTTCTAAAAAGTTGGTAAAGGATTTAGAAAAAATATTGTTGTACTTTCTCTATAAAAAGAGTGAATGAGAATGATAGTTTGATGATATTGACATCTTAGTTCCTCGTCAAAATCAAGAAAGCTCATCATCTTTATATATATGAATTCGTATTTCTGTCAATGATGTACATATATGATCATATATGTGTTGTTGTTTTAAAAATGAGTTAACATAATCATAGATTAATGTATAACAGTAACGAACTTTATTTTATTTTACTGTGATCCAGGTACAAACTTTAGGGGCATATAACACATATCTACGCCATAGGTACCAAACATTTTATCAAATTTCCTCGCACTTATAGCATATTCAAACCTTGAACCAAGAACACACGGACAATTGTCAATGGCCAGCGTAGATAGCTCTTTGTGGTAAGAAAAAAAAAAATTAGGAAGAAGGTTGTCTTTTTTTTTTTTTTTTTTTGTTAACCCAGTATCCGACCACAAAGCGTGATCGACTAGCCCACCGGACCTAAGCTCATGCCATGACAAGATTTTTAAACGTCCATTTAAGGGCCTCTGGTTACGCTAAGTGGTCTGAGGCACCACACCAACTCCGCATATTAATTATGTGGTGGCCGGGGTTCAAAGTCGGGTGACGGGCATCTCAGCCGAGATTCAATTACCACCAAGCTACGAAGCCCGGTTGGTTGTCTTTGCTTTCAAATTCGAACTTTGCTAGAGCGAGATGATTTATGTTTATTATATACTACAAATCAAATAATTAGTCATCAATTATCTCCAGTTCCAGTTCAAAATCCGATAGAAAGAAGATGATTGCTTAAACTCTACGAAAGCTTTTGCACTTGTATATTCTTGTTTGACCCGTATCCGTAGCCTAAATCGTCGTCCGTTATACTTTCTTCTTCTTTGTATTTGATTTAAACTTAGGAATTAGCAGTGAAAATCATTTAATGACAAATTGAGATATTTATAACATTTCGAGTTTAAGTGTCTATTTTATTTTTCTTGATGTCTACTTACAAAATCGAAAACTCGAGAATAAAACAAATTGGGCTAAACGACGTACTTAATCTAACAGTTTACCTTGGAAATACAATTTTTTCGGGGACTAGCTTTTGAAATTCTTTATCGGGCCATTATTTCATAGCCTCGTAGGCATTGCCTTTTAAGATGTGTGTTTAGGACATCTCCAGTGATACTCTATAATTTTTATTCTAAAATAGTAGAACTTCATTATAGAATTAGATTTGTTCTATTGGTTTATTCTATAATAGAGTTACACTATAATAAAATGAAATACAGAGAGTGATGTTGTTTTTTTACTCCAAATATAGAGTGAAAAAGTAACATTCCTCTATATCTCACTCTATTATGGTGTATTAGAGCAAATCCAACTATCACTAGTAAAAATCTTTCGCATAGCCACGACACAGCCACTTCGAAATCGTGGCTATATAGGTAAAAATCGTGGCTATTTGAAAATCAGTCACGATTCTATGTTGAAAAATTACCGTGGCTATAGCTTCGTGGCTATGAGAAACCGTGGCTTTGCGTGGCTAAATAGCCACGGTTTTACCACGGTTATTTCGTGGCTAATATAACCACTGTTTTGCAACTATATTTATCGTGGTTAGGATATAGCCACGGTTTAACCACTACATATCCGTGGCTTTTCTGAAAGTAAGAACAAAAAAAAATAAACAGAAATAAAAACACACAAATAATTATTATTATTAATTAATTACTAAAATAGAAATACACATTATTAGAATTATTTTATACATAAATACGTAGATCATACAAATACACTCGGCCGCACAATCACCCCGCCACCGCACGCACCACACTTCACCGGAGACGCCGCACTGTCACGCCACCACTTCTCTTTTCCGTTTCATCATCTTGCCACACCACCACTTCTCCTTCCTTTCATCGTCAGATTCACCTTGCCTGTACACACAAAGAGAGTCCAGAACAAATGAAAAATTAAGAAAGAACTCAGATTTTTAGCATCTAAGAACACAGATAGAGTCAAGAACAGAGATGAATACTTTATGATTCACAACTACCACATATACAAATTAAAGCAGATAAAAAGACGATTAGATTAAAGTAAACGAGGAGAGAGAGAGGATTTGGTACCTCTTGAGATACTCGCGGAAGAAGAAGAGAGAAGGGAAGGGTCAGACTTGCATTGATCGGTGAAGACCTTTACCGTCACACCGTCTGCTCCGTCACCTTGAATTTTTCATCACTGCTCCTTCTCGAATCTATAAACAAAACAAAACATATCAACTAGAAATAGAGGAGGTGAAGCCAGAGAAGAGGAAGACCAAGAAAGGTGGACCGGTGATTATGGTGAGAGAGGTGAAGGCATGACTCGATTGTGACAGAGAAAGAGATAGAATGGAAGAAGAAGAATCAGACGAAGGAGAGAGCAAAAGAGAAAAAAAGCAGAAGAAAGAAACACAACAGGATTAAATCTGGACCCTTCATAAGTTTAATCTAATGGTTAATATTATCGATCCACACAACTCCTTCTTATTGGCTAAAGAAAAGAGAGGTAAGGGGAAGAGAAAAATAAAGAAAAAAAAACTGTGTGTTTATTTATGTTGTCCATTTTTAATGTTGTTTAGTTTCTATTAATGTGTATAAATTTTATCAAAAAATAGTTTATACTGTTTTAAACAGTGTATAATTCTTCATATACTTTGATAATTTATTTTATAAAAATTGGTTTAGGGTTCAATATTTAGAAAATATATAGGGAATGATGGTTATTTATAATATATATTGTTTAATACTTTAATGTTATATTTTTATAATATAGAATTTGTAGTTTGGGAAATATGATTTGAGTATAAATGTTAAGATTGAATGTAAGAGTTTATGGTTTTGTATGTAAGATTTAAGTTTTTAGGTTGAGGGTTCGAAGTATGAAATAGAATTTGAGTTTATATGATATATGATTTGAGAAAAGGTTTTGAAAAGATTAAGTTTATATATTTATATTTAAGATTTAGAGTATAAATTTAAAACATTATAATTGGAGTTTGTTTTTGAGACATAGGGTTAAAGTATGTAGTTTGAGATTTAGATTAAGATTTAAAATGGAGTTAAAGAATTAAGATAAAAATAATTTAATCAAAGGCTCAAGAGAAAACAATACAATATGTATTTTTATTTCAATATAATTATTATAAATATGTGATTTAGGGTTAAGATTTGGAATAAAGTATATGGTTTGATATTAAGTTTTGAAAAGATTAATTTTATAGTTATATCAAAAATTGGGAGTTTAAGTTTTAAAATAATATAATTAGAATTTGTAATTATGAAAAATGGTTTTAAGATTGTACTTTAGGTTTTAGATTACAATTTAAAATGGAATTTAGTGATTTGAGATTAAATATTTGAGTTTATGTATATGGTATATGTTTGGAATTTTATATTTGAAATTTGTTAAAAAATTTAAAATTCATATTTGAAATGTATATTTAATGGAAGTATGGTTTATGTATGAATTTATGGTTTAGGTTATATATAGTATGGTTTGAAGATTTAAAGTTTGTGTTTTTGGAAGTTATAGATTAAAAAATAAAAGTTTATCTATAATTTTTGATTAAACAATAATATTTATATTTAAGCTTTGAGTTTAAAGTTTAAAATATAATAATTGGAATTTGTATTTAGGGTTTAAAAATGTATTTAGGGTTTAAAAATGTATTTAGGGTTTAGGGATTCGCATAGCCACGACAAAACAGTGGCTAAATCGTGGCTAAGACATTAGCCACACATGCAATCGTGGCTAAACCGTAGCTACGATTTAATAAGAAAATAAAATATTTGCCTCGAGAAATTTTTAAGCGGGAAAAAGAAGTGGGAATGAAAATTTTACAAAAAGCCACGGTAAAACAGTGGCTAGACCGTGGTTATGTATCTGGCCACGAAATATTTAGTGAAAAAAACGTGGCTTATTACCCAGCCACGAAGTTTTAGTGGCTGTGATCGTGGCTATTTAATTGTGCCGTGGCTAATTGAAAATCGTGGCTATTCCGTGACAAAAGCGTGGCTTTTTTAGTGTAGCCACGGTTTTGGAGTGGCACTACCGTGGCTATACGATAAATTTTTACTAGTGTATATTATAAAGTTACACCATTTTAGAGTGAAATATGGAAAAAATTATAGAGTACCATTAGAGATGATCTTAGTAACTAGAGGAGAGATCATGTGGTTGATTGAACTAGAGTATTATACATTCAGGTGTACCAAAATATAAACCATAGAAGCATAGACCTACGTTCTGGTTATTTTGTGCCTTAGCCATGCTCATCTTCATATACTTAATTTCGTTCAAAATGATATTGTGGCAGTTCATATTTGATTCAGACGTTTTCAAAAACTATAAAAAAAATAGATACATTATTTGTTTTAAAAATAAAATATTAACTACAAAATCATAATGACATATATTTTTTGGAAAATAAATATGACATGCAATCCCAACTGTACTAGTTTTTTCTGCCACGTTTCAATGAATAGTGGCATTTAAGACTTCACCAATTAGAAGTCATCACAGCTTTAACGTGTGCACGAGTGGTCAAGAGCTTTGACAGCCTTGAGGCAATAATTAAATTAAATCCTAACTAAAATATTCCACTCGTCAAAATTACTTCACTGTTTCATTGCATTGATTTCGTTATATTTTTATGTATTTTTTTGTGTTTCAGAAAAAAAATTCGTTATTTTTGAACACTTACGTACTGAACAATTGAACCTTCTTTACCTTTTAGGGCCAAAACAGGTCGTGTCTAGTTAGCCTGAGAACTCATAAAACCCACATGAATATCTTGGGATACACATTATTTGAATTTTCGACCCCCAAAAGTTGCATATTCTAAGGAAAACTTCTTTTTAGGAATTCTTTTCAGAGTTATTAAATGTGAACATCCAAAACAAACACCCACTTGTTAAGTATATAATTAAACCTTTTAGTTTCAGGTACCACTCTTTATTTACTTTTCAATTTAATGACTGGTTTGTAAATGATAAACTTGAATATTAATTACATTTAACATCTTTAAAATTTACAGTTCGGAGAGTAGTAGAGATACACATTCGGTAGTTATCGTGCAGGTATATGAATAGATGCCATAAATGCTGGCACATGGTCAGTTAACCGCCCAAATTTGTTTCTTGTCCTTATATCTTAGATAAAGCTTGTCATTGACTTAACATAATATAACGTCTAATCCATAAATTTGAAACAAATTAAATTCACCATCATTCAATAGTATTTTAAGCGTACCAAAACGATTCACTCAAATTACATAAACTCAAGACAATATAATTTGCAAAATCACAACAACGAGCAACCGAATATATAATCAAAACATGTAAACATCAGCATCGAACACAATCAAACACTAATATGTGTGTTCAAAGACGCAAAAGAAAAACACACACACAAAAAGAAAAGAAACAAAAGAAACAGAACTTTAAAATCAAAGATCATATGCTTATAACAACAACTAAATCAAGACAACATGCCATTAAATCAAAATCTAAGATCATTACGACTAGATTTATGGCTTAGAATAGAACACAAAGCTCTCTTCATACTAAACCCTCTTTTATAACACAACGTTGACGTAGGCGAAGATGAACCATTCTCTTCCTCTTCGTCGTCCTTAACGTACGATCTCGAGCAAGAAAGGTAACACTTGTTGGGACGATGCACTGTATTAGACCTAGGAGACGACGAGGAAGAGAACGAAGAGGAAGAAGATGATGTTGTAGACGACCAAGAAACCGAAGGACACGACATGTGATGCTTGCGGTTGAACAAGGTCTTCACGAACCGAGTTTGTTTCGTTCTAACTTTGGCGACTTTGTTCTCCGAGGAAGAGGAGGAGGAGGAGGAGGAGTAATATGAAGGAGGTGGCGTTAACGGCGGAAGACGAAATGACTCAGAGAAAAGAGGGTGTTTTGGTGTGCCTGGCCGTGTCTCCCACAAGAAGGGCACGGAAGCTCCACCGTAGTAATAGATTCTCGACGATGAGTTGACCTGAGAGTTATCCCTTACCACCATCTTCAAAGATCTTTCTGACATTGTCATAAATGTTTTGTAAGATTGTTTGAAGTGACTTAGCAAAACACCTTCTCTTTGGATATGTCTTGAGTCAGATTTTATCAGAACTATACTAGAAAAAGTATAAAGAAAATGAAAAAAAAAGAAAAGAAATGGAAATGTGAGATCCGAAGACGATGAAGCTTCTTGAGATTTGAAAGAGAGAGACAAAGGCGCATCTATTTTTGGAACAACGATGCTTTGTTAGTGTAAGAGAAGTTTGCGGAAGAATTAAAGGATCTCTATATGCATGGAGTGTGTAAGCAAGCACATGGCATGATTCATGTGATTATATTATCATTTTTCTTTCTTTTGTTTTTGTATTATCTGAATTATTTTCTGTGTTTTTCTATTGGTATTTCACATGGGTGATCATATGGCATATATATATAAGGTACTCGATAATAATTGAAGAGGGCAAGAAATTGTTAGCTAATAAATGAGTGGGGGCGATATACTGCTAAATGTGTATGCAGCTTAAATGTTATTGCTACAAGCCTACACCAATTGTGATTTAAAAGAAAAAAAATATGAAAAGTATTCTATCAATTTAAAGAATATTTTTTTATCTAACAATATAGCTATACTTTATCTGCTCTTTTAAGATATTAACTGAAATAGTTTTGTTTAATAAAAAACTGAAATAGCTTAACTTAAAACAGTTATTTATTTTTAACCATAATTTATACTATTACGAAAAAATATTACAAAATGATTGTACAACCAACAAATCTACTTGAGTAATGTTTGATGATTCTACTGAACCGTCTTTATAAAAGTTTATTTTAACGATTTACTTGCCATATATGCTATAAGTTTTTGGATTTTTTTTTTACAAAAGAAATAGTTTGGGAACTATTATATATGCTATATAAGTTATTAATTTTCGGGTCTTTAGATGGAATACATATAAAATAGACTACTGGAATATAATAGCCTAATGTAGCAGGATCTTAACTTCTTTCTACTATTGATTGAACCTTCAAACCAAGTGAACTCCGGGGTATGGTAAGCCTTGTATTTATTTCGTTGAAAAGGCTATGCTATAAACGTGTATGATACAAAAGAGGTGGTGCCTAGGTTGATAAGTGTGAACCGTTGGATATACAGTTGAGCCGTATTTAATGAATAGGGGATGCGTTCGTGGTCCATTGTTTCCGTACCGGTATTTCGATTCAATTCGATAGAGAAATATCAAGACAAAGTTAGTTAGAAAAAAATATGAGGCGAAGCTTCTCCTATTTATTTAATACGTCCACCTATATACAGTACGTTACTCTAGACATATAATGTGTAAATAGACATACAAAAACTGATAGAAGTTCATTACAAGCAACGGTCTAGACAATTGTTTTTAGGCTGTTTCAAGCATCTTTTATCGGTTCTGATATAGTTATTTTATAGACGGCTAGATAGGTTCAAGAGAGCACTTAGTTAGGTATTGTAGGCTTATTATTTATTGTCCTTATTGAGAGAATGTGTATGCTATAGATTATAGACTTTATAAACGACTGGTTGTATTAATTCTGGACATTAACTCTAATCAATAAGTCTAATCAACATGAGTACAACTAAGATTAGCGAAAAGGACTTTTAACCTAAACCATATTGAGATCAATGGGTTCGTACGCTGTAATATTAAGTTCGTTTAGACTTGATTTCAGGCATTGATCGTGGTTAACGCATTAGTAAACTTTCATATAATGGGATCAGACAAAATAAGACAATGGATGTAATGTTCAATCTATTAAGGGAAGCGACTCCAAAAAATTCTAAAAAAGAAATCATAACATAGAAAAAGATATGGTGGTTGTGATCATCATTATATGTACCAAAAATCAACATAACAATTATTCTGCTCATTTGCCAAACGATGTGATGTGCCTTCTTTACATCTATTACGTTTTAACCCATTTTTCACGTTTTAGGTCGTCTAGAGTTAATACTATTGATTAAAAGAAAACAAGAGACACTTTTGTTTGTTTAGGTTTAAATATGAGAGGTTTGAAGATCTAAATACTAAAGATGAAAGATTTTAATCAAAAGAATACTAAAGATGAGGAGTATTTTTTTTGTCCTTAAAAACACTATGATAAGTATGGGCTATTCCCTACGGCCCATGATAATACTACCGTCGGTAGTGAAAACGACATCGTTCGATTGAATGGTACCTGCCGGCCCAAAGTTTACCTTTTTGTAAAGCTAAAAACAGTGCAAACTGCAATTCCCAATATCTTTCCGTTACCTCCGCAATCAACGGCCCAAATTAAGTAATCAGTCAACTATCCCATACAACCCAGTCTCACGCGAACCTTTATTTCGCAAACACCAGTCAATCTATACAACCAATAATAATACGCCACGTAACCATCTCTCTTTTACTCTCTCTAGTGGTGTTGGTGTGACTCGGTAACGACTTGTTAACCCACCAAAAAAGCTCTTTTTTTTTCCTTTTCTTTTTACCTTTTCCCTCTCTTTTGTTTTGCTCTGTACAATAACTATGATGATGACTGAGAAAGTGCTTCTCTTTATATCCCACAGGCCACAACAATCCATCCACCTTCTCTCTGTTGTGACGGTGGAGAGATGTCAGAGGAGGAGCATCTGAAACCTGTGAAGATCCATGAAACCGGGTCCGAGAATTTCGGGTTTTGCGTCGAACCGGTTGGTGTTTCTCAAGTGCCTGGGATAAGGAGAGTGGGTTTGAGAGCTGAGATCGATACTTCTCCTCCTTTCGGTTCGGTTCAAGAGGAGGTGAACCGGTTAGGTGGTCGTGGGTATTGGGTTCCTTTCAAGCTCGAAGACAACTACGTAAGTTTGATTCTTTCTCAGTTTTGTTATAGAAGCTCACTGATACGTTATGCACTTGTATACTCAATGTTTGATGATCTGATTATTCTGTAAAGTGAAGTTGAGTATAGAGTTTCATGCTTGCTGTCCAAGTTTGTGAATTTGGGTACAAATTTTTCATGCTTTATGTGTACAATTGAGTAGAACTTTATCACTGAAATTGAGCTATTGAGTTTCATATTATAATGTTCTGGAGTTTATATTAACATTTACTTCCTAAATATAAAATGTTCTAGGTAGAAATACACAGAAAGCTATGTTTTATCGAAAAAGTATCATTAAAACTATAAATTAAAAATGATTCAGTTAATTACAAAACACTATAAATATGATTGGTTACACAGTTTTAATAAAATTAAAATTTACCAAGAAATATGAGAATATCTTGCATATTGGAACATACAAATTCTTGTAAACATCCTATATTTTGGAACCGTTATGGATATCATCAAGGGCGTCTAGAGTGTTAGTTCTGCTTCTAAGTTTGTGATTGTTGTTTGAATAATAGATTATGACTTTGATGTGTATGCATTGTATATTCACAGGTTATTGTTTATAAAGTTGGATTATGATTTGAAGATATGGTTTTTGTATGTGTTGGTCTTTGTAAATTGATCAGAATGGTGAGGGGGAGTTTGACATAAAGAGAATGGAAGAGCATGCAGCAGAGCTAGAGAAAGATCTGATAGTAAAAGAGCTAGAAACTCTAGATGTTCTAGAAGCACTTGGAACAACCAAAAGGATCGTTGAAGACTTGAAACGGCAGCTTCATCATGAGTCCTTGAGATCATCAGCAGAACAGATCAAAGAGATGAACAACGATGAGCATAACAATCACAATCCCATGTCATCATCTCCTGATTTGATCTTGATGGAACTGAAGCAAGCCAAGATAAATCTTGGTAAAACCATGAATGATCTTGAGATGATCCAATGCTCTGTTGAGTCTTTAAACAAGAAAATGAAAGAAGAGAAAGAGTTTCTTGACAAGGCAAGAGAGAAGCTTACGTATGAAACACCAATTGTTGCTGAAACAACAGATGAAAAGAGTTTAAAGAATCAGAACAAGAACTGTCTGAGAACTGCAGAGATGAGACTTGCTGCTGCTAGGAAAATGGAGGAAGCTGCAAGAGCATCTGAAGAACTTGCTTTTGCTGAAATAACAATGCTATCATCAGCCAACGGTGAAAGTGAGGATGATGGTTCAGAGTTTTGCTTTCCAGAGCCTCCAAGATCACCGTTTAGTACACCGAGAGGGTTTGGTAATGAGAACGAGTCAAGAAGAGGGATGATCTTGAAGAAGCTTGAAGAAGCTACAGAAGGAGTTAAAGAAAGTAAACAAGCTTTGGAAGATGCGTTGAACCGAGTAGAGATTGCTAATGAGAAGCAACTTGAAGCTGAAACTGCTTTCCGCGGGTGGAGCAAACATCAAACTCGACGCTCCTTCTTCAGCCATATGAACAAGCAGCATGAGCCACTCAACAGTCTATCCAAGCCAGTGTTGAAGTCTAACGTCTCAATGCGTGATGTACTAAGGCGTAAGCAAGTTCCAAAGGAAGATGTTCACAAGAGGCAGAGTGTTGAAGGAGAAACACCGAGGCGGCATGTGAATTTGAGCCAAATGTTGAATGAACTTAAACAGGATGTGAAAGAGGAGGTGCGTGAAGAGAAACGGTTTGTTACGCAGAGGAGGAAGTTTGGGTTCATACACATTACACTTCCAATGCACAAGCAGAGTAAGAAAAAATAAAACATCTTTCAAGTGTTAATGTGTTTGTTTGTATTGTTTTTTTTATTGGTTTTCATTTGGTATGATGTGTTGTGATTGGTGTTCATGTCTTTGTGTGTGTATTCAAGAGAATAAATATTTAATTAGTATTAAATAATGCTATAGTCTAACCAAATCTTCAAAGGACAAGCTGCAAGCAGCTGAGGTTGGAAAGAACAAATGAAAAACCAAGCTAACCAAGATGTTTAAACAAGATCAAACCAATACGGTTTATAACCCAAGGACCTTTTTTAACAAAGAAAAAGTTCTAATGGAACAAATTAGTTTAACTAAAGTTAATTAATTGTCGCACTTGATGTAAAAATATTTTGTCTGAATAAATTTCACATTCAATCAAAAGTAAAAGTTAACTAATTTTCTGGTAATAATGTTTAATCAAATAATTATTAGGTAAATACTTACAATCAAACCAAACCAAACCCACCATAAAAGTTTTTTATTTATAACAGCAAACCCAAAACATACATCACCGAACCAAACCGAAATCAGTAAACCGGATTTTAAAATAAAATCCTTTTGATGACATGGCAGATATTTGCTGACTAGGCAAGTTTAAAGCCACGTCAGCAGATCTCTTATCATCTATCTCTTGACGTTAAACCCAATCTTCTTCGTCTGCGTTGAAGACCTCTCTCTGATCTCACACCTCTGTGATTCTCTCTGGTCAATCGCAAAAAAAATGTCAATCCTCCAGCTCTCTAGCTCTTCGCTCTCTTATCCTAATGTTCTCTCCATCTCTCCGAGAAAATCTCTCTCGTCGTCTCCAAAGTCTCCCCGAACAATTCGTTGTTCCCTCGAGGGTACTTTTTTTTCTAAGCCCTTAAATTTCGTCTCTTTGATTCATTTTCGATGAAATTTCGGCAATTTACTATCTGGGTATTCGGAGAATTACGAAATTTCCACATAAAGTTTGCTCCTTTCTGCAAATGGAAAAATCAAATTTGGGTCTTTCTTGTAAAAATCGAATTGAAAGTTAGTTCTTGTTTAGTTGTTGGTTCCTATATAATCTTCTCGTGCTTCTTAGAAGTAAAGTATAATGCTTTATTGTTATTGGTTTTGCCCTGAACTGTGTAGAAGCTTATGCCTTGTGTAGTTTTTAGCTTCTTATTGTGAAACTATTGTGTAGGAACCACTGTAACCGAGCGTAAAGTCTCTGCAACCACTGAGCCTCTTCTTCTCAGAGCTGTCAAAGGTGAAGTTGTTGATAGACCTCCGGTTTGGCTTATGAGGCAAGCTGGGAGGTACATGAAGGTAAGCACTAAAGCTAGCTTCCGTTTAACTTGCTTTCAAACTCATAGTGTGTTTACCTGATTGTATGTTAATATGATGGAACAGAGTTATCAAACTCTCTGTGAGAAGTATCCTTCTTTCCGAGATAGATCAGAGAATGCTGATCTTGTGGTGGAGATTTCTCTTCAGCCTTGGAAGGTGTTCAAGCCTGATGGTGTGATTCTGTTCTCAGATATTCTGACACCTTTGTCTGGTATGAACATACCTTTCGACATTGTTAAAGGCAAAGGTCCTATCATCTTCAACCCGCCGCAGTCAGCTGCTGATGTGAATCAAGTTAGAGAGTTCGTACCAGAGGAGTCTGTTCCTTATGTTGGAGAAGCACTCAAGAGATTGAGAAACGACGTACTAATGTTGATTACTTTTTTTTTTTGAACGATACTAATGTTGATTACTAAAACAAACACTCTTAACTTTCTTAATCTGAAGAATATGTTTTTTTCTTTCAGGTGGGCAACGAAGCTGCTGTTCTTGGTTTTGTTGGAGCTCCATTTACTCTTTCCTCATATGTTATTGAAGGTGGCTCATCTAAGAACTTCACACAAATAAAAAAATTAGCTTTCTCTCAACCCAAGGTGTGTTATTACTAACCTTAAATCATTTTTATACAAACTCAATAGTTAGATAAAATCTCATTTTTGTCTTTCTTCTCAGATTCTACATGCTTTACTTCAGAAGTTCACAACCTCAATGATCACTTACATACGCTATCAAGCAGATAGTGGAGCTCAAGCTGTGCAAATCTTTGATTCTTGGGCTACAGAGCTTAGCCCTGTGGACTTTGAGGAGTTTAGCTTACCTTATCTTAAACAGATTGTGGAAGCTGTGAAACAAACTCACCCAAACCTACCTTTAATACTGTATGCAAGTGGATCAGGAGGTTTACTAGAGAGACTGGCTCGCACCGGTGTGGATGTTGTGAGCTTGGACTGGACTGTGGACATGGCTGAAGGAAGGGACAGGCTGGGAAGAAACATAGCAGTTCAAGGAAACGTGGACCCTGGAGTTTTGTTCGGATCTAAAGAGTTTATCACAAGCAGGATTCATGATACTGTGAAGAAAGCTGGGAGGGATAAACATATTCTGAACCTGGGACATGGTATTAAAGTTGGAACTCCTGAAGAGAATGTTGCACACTTCTTTGAGGTTGCTCAAGGAATTAGATATTAAGAGAAGAACGTGTACACGTTCTCTTGCATGATGATTTGTTCTTAACTTTTGCTTGTTCAATTTTTGTTTCTCATTTGTAATTTTATGTTTGTATTTTTAATGTTTTAACAGATTTTTTTCTTCTTTGGAGATTATGTGGAATAGAATTAATCACAAACAAATATCTGAATAGAAAAAAAAAGTAGATCACATATTATATGATTTATTTTGTAGGACACTTGTGCTTTCCTGCATAGACTAATAATCTAAACAACATCAACATTTCAGGTAGTTTTCCTTTTAGCCTTGTTTAGGTAGGAAACATTTAAAGGTTATTTGGTAATCTATCACTTTCTTACAAGCTAATTTAGGCTATAAGCTTTTTTTCAGAAATCTCTCAAACAACTAAAATATTGTTTAAAATAAAATAAATTACACACAATTATCAGTTGATGTAATGCAGGTCCTCAGTTGTAGAAGACTAGAAACTTGTTATAAAAAGAATGAAAATAGCAAAGTCATAGACCTTATGGTACTTCCAACTCAGGATTTCTAACTTTTAACAGCATTACTTATATCATTAGACTAAAAAGAAAACAAGCTTTTCAAAAGGTTGAAAACCCATGTTTCTTCAGTTTCCCGAAAGACCGGACCTGAGTGGACAATATATGCGAAAGCTATACTCATCTATTGAGTATTGTGGACGTATATGTTTGAACAGTATACACTCATATACCAACCAACATGGTGTAAAAAAAAAAACTAAACCTCTTTATTTGATTTTATCATACTAAACATCAGTACACCTCTTTATTTGATTTTTTTTTTTTGACTAAGAAATCGAACTTATTCGCAATTTATGCGTGTCATGTCATCCTTTCAAAGGAATCATGCCAATCTCTAGTTCTAATTTTTCTGATGTCCCGAGTGAACTAAACCTCTTTTATTTTTGTAAACAAGACAAATAATATTTTTTTAAACAGACAATCATTTTAGAAAGTGTTCTTAGTTTAACTGAATGAATCCCCAAAAAAGGTAATTAAGACCATCTCCAATATTTTCTTCTATTTTTTTTCAAAAAATAAGGAAACTCTATAATAAAGATAGATTTGTCTCCATTGTATTCCTCTATTCTTCTTCTAAAAAAGTTTTTATTTTTTATTTTACAAAGAATACTTTTTATTTGCGAAAGTTGAAAATCAACCCAATTCATTTTAACATTTTATAAAATTATGATATCATTTACACTAAAGTTTTCTTTATAAATTATTATGTAAATAAAAAGCATAATCATATTTATATAAACAATACATTTCACTAGAAATATTTATTGTTATAATTGTTAAAGTGAAAAATTAAATGATCATTTATTAAATGAAAAATATACATTTATTATAGAAGAATATTATTTCTTTCTTTAAATATAGAGGTGAAAAATACTCATTTCTATTTTAGAGGAAGAAATATAATAAAGATGGAATAATTTTGATCAAAATACTATTATAGAAATAAATATAGGAGAAAGCTGGAGATGCTTTAACATATACTGTTGTAGATAGGGGTGGATCAATTTGAGAATGTGGAGTCAGTTAACATCAGTAAAATTATATAAATTAGAATTTCAAACTATGTTCATTAGTCAGTTACAGCAAAATTGGTATGAAACTAAACCAGTGAATGCCCAAACGCTGGTTCAATTACCCACAGTTCAAACCTATTCTTATTTTTTTATTTATATTATATATTTTGACACTAGACATTTTTATGTTGGGTCCGCCCCTAGTGGTAGATTCAACTTGATTCTCTTTAACTTATGTCATTAGTTTGTTAAATGTTAGCATGTAGTAAGGTTATGTTTTCGTCACTTGTTTTCGGTATACAGGAAAATAACTTTTTTCGACGACAGAAGATTTTCTTAAAATCCATTACAAAGGTACTACATAAGTACAAAAAGTTAGTAGTACTGTATATGTTGACTACATTACGTATATCCAAAGTTGTAAACACTAGATTTCGTAATCCACTTTTGTAAAGGCCGTATATCGTAGATCTCTATGTGGTCGTTTTCTTTCTATTAGGCTTTTACTATATTCTCTTTTTATTATCCACTTTTTTCTTCTTCTTTGTTGTTTATTTTGATTTCTTGAGTTACAAATATGTTTTTCTGGTTGAACTCGGGAGTAATACGACAAGGCATGCATATTCAGTCAATTCAGACTGTTCAGTTTTTTGGTTAATCAGATTCTATCTACCTCTTACTGAATTAATTTTCTAAAATAATATTTGGTTCAACATTCGAAAATTTCAGTTTTTAAAAATCCTATCAAACTTAAACGAAAATTTTGATTCAATTAGATTTGGGTTTATTTTTAATGAAAATTCTGAATAAATTCTATTAATTTAGTTAAATTTGATTAGCTTAGTTATTTCTTTTTATTTTGGTTGAGATTTTGGTATGGTTTGGTTAAATATTAGTTTTTTTTTAAAATGTATTAATTGGTTGTCGAAGAGAACCAAAAATCATTTTTTTTTTTTGAAAAATCTATCTAACTGAACCGAATATCAATTAACCAAAAAAAATTGGTTTGGTTCAGTTCGGACAAAAATCCAAAAATACACAACATATTTTCTGTTTGTATATGATATAATTTATTACCAAAACAAAAGTCATACTATTAATTATTTGTCAATTTGAGTCAGTATTATTACTTTTTTACAAAAAAAAAAAACTGGGGTCATTATCATATATGTATATCTAATGACTCATACTCTCATTCTCTACGAATCATCCATAAACTCATTTGACTTTGTCTTCGGGCATCCTTTCATTTTCATCCTACTTGTTTTATCTTCTCGTTCTCTTGTTTGTACACTAAGCTGTCTTTTCTCCGCCGGAGTTCCAGTGAGTTTTATTCTCTTTGCTATTTATCTGATCTCCAAAACTAATCACCATTGTATCAATTAACCGCGCCACTAAACCATGTTAATTGTATGGTTTCATTTTGGTTTAAAAATCTTTTAGCTTTTCTCGTTTTCTCTGCCTGTGAAATTTAAATTTTATTCTGAGCTGCTTTAAGGTACCATCTTCTGACACATGGACCAAAAGTATATGTTACTTCTCCGTTACTTACAACTCAAAAACTATTTTCTGCATTTACGAGGTTGTATTGATGATAAAGGTTTGTTCCATATGAGTTTACCAAAGATGAAAAAACTGAATTGTCATGGAGATGATCAGAATCCTTTAGTCAATCATAAAATTTTGGGTACTTTAAGCCTAAATGTTTTGTTCTTAGGAGTTTGGCTTCGAGGAAAGCTAAGATAGTAGGGATACCTAACAATTGCATTTACTATCTCATTTATCATTGTCACGCTTAGAACGTAATTACCCTCTTGTTTTTGCTTGATACTATGAAGCATTCATTTAGCGGAATTAAGAGTCTCCAGTTCAATATTTGTTCTTAGTACTAATCAGTTATTCCATGATCAGTTTCATTCCTTTGGTTAAAGTTACTTTCCATGAGAAGTATAATGATTTGATGTTATATGATCATCTCTTTGTTCTATGATGTGTAGATGTCTTGATAATATATCACTTTCCTACAAGTAAGCTCGTTGAGGTGACTAGTCCTGGGGTTATCATCAGTCTGAAGTTTTGTGTTCAAATGGTTGATCTTAAAGAGGGGACGTCAAACTCCTCATCTTCATCCTCGTCATCGTCACCGTCTCTTTCACTATCAACAATGCAAATAGATAGAGAATTGTGGATGATTGCTGAGGAAAGGGCTCAGGAGATACTAAACACCATCCAACCTATCTATGTTTCTGACATAACTAGGAGTGAGATTGTTAATTATGTCCAAACTCTTGTCAAGGATCGTCTTGGAACTGAGGTTAGAACTTTTGTGCTTCAGTTGGATTTCTGCTTTGTTTATTACATAAAACACATCAATATATATTTATGGTGATTAGTTTGCCTTCTGTTTGATGAACTCTCCTTCCTTCAGTTTCCACTTCTTAATAATATGTATGGTTGCATAAGTTTTCTCGCTGAGAGATTAGATTTGGAGTCAGGACTATTGTATTGTGTCCCTAAATCTCCTACATACATATGATTAATGTGTTTGTTTAATGTGGTATCGTATCCTACTAGGTCTTTAATTTTGGTTCAGTGCCATTAAAAACCTATCTCCCAGATGGAGATATTGATCTGACAGTCCTAACTCCTAAAGATAAGGAGGAGAACATGGCTAAAGCATTATGCAGTATCCTTCAAGCTGAAGATGGAGAATCTGATTTCCAAGTTACTGATGTTCAGTATATCCAAGCACAGGTTTGCTTGGTTCCTTTTAGGTTTTTTAATCTATGTGTGATTTTTTTTTTCTCAACAAATTAAACTCAATTAATGCTTTATGCTGTTTTTGGATGGTAGGTCAAGGTCATAAAGTGCAAGATCAGGAAAATTTCTGTAGATATCTCCTTCAATCAAATGGCAGGACTATGCGCTATATGTTTCCTGGAGCAGGTAACAACTTAGTTCTTCCATGAGTCATAGCTTCAACTTTTTTTTTTTTTTTGTAAATATTTGATTTGGTTGTTTTGTTAGGTTGATACTATTTTTGGGAGAGACCATCTGTTCAAACGTAGCCTGATTTTGATCAAGGCTTGGTGCTATTACGAGAGCCGTATCCTCGGTGCCAACACTGGATTGATTTCAACATATGCATTGGCAGTACTAGTCTTGCATATTATCAACATTTCTTATCCATCATTATCTGGCCCTTTAGCGGTGAGTATTTATTTTAAAAAATCGGATCCTATTGAGTATTTGCTTCAAGATTAGAATATAGTATCTATAATCATCAACAGGCACTGTTTAAGTTCTTGGAATACTATGCATCATTTGATTGGGATAAATACTGTGTCACGGTCTATGGTCAAGTCCTGATATCTTCTCTTCCAGACATGACTGGTAAGGATACTGAGATCACAAGACATCATTTATCTTATGTTTTCCTTTATTTTGAGACTTCACTTGTTGCTCTTTATGTAGAAACCGAGCATCATGAAGTTGTGTTGAACGAGAAGTTCGTTAGAGAATGCATGGAGTTATATTCGTTTCCAACTAAAGCTGTCCATGCAAATGGCCTTGGCTTTCCTGTGAGGCCTTTAAACATCGTGGATCCTATGAAACACACTAACAACCTTGGCCGTAGTGTGACAGTAGGTACGTACTCTCATTGATCAAAGACTTGTAATAATAACGCAACATAAAAAAAAAAGCTTATAACGTAATATTTTCTAGGCAATGTGAAACGTTTAAGACATGCGTTTACTCTGGGATCTAAAAAGCTAAAGGATGTGCTTACACTACCTGGAGAAACAATGGGATGGAAACTTGAGAAGTTCTTTGGTAATACACTGGAGAGAAACGGTAAGGGACAACGTCTAGACGTGGAGGAACCTGTCACTGCGTTTGGCACTGGAAGATCAGAATTTTCTGAACTTAGAGGTGATTTTGAAGGATACTTCAATAGTCTTGTATATGGGAAGTGGTTTCACGGTGAGACTCAGCAGAACTGGATTCCTCAGGGTCAGGACACAAGTTATTGGGACATTTTGAATGGTTTCTATAGAAAGAATCTTAATGGAGCAATCCCCATGCAGAGATCAAGAGGAACTGGAACTTACATTCCTGAAATGGTACAATATTCCCCACTACTTAGTATTTGAAATTAAAAAAAGAATAAATTGTTTCTGAATTTGTATGAGTTAATGGTTTTGTTTATTATATTTGCAGAGTCAACAATCTTATACAGACAGGTTCAGTAACAAACCGAGTAGGATGAAGTCATTGCCTTCAGCACCTCGGTCCTAACTGTTTAAACAGAATATTTGAATTGGTCTCTTGCAGGTTTATCTCTCAAACTTTACCAACAAAAAACAATGACAAAGAGTTTTTATTTTTATTTTGCAATGGTGCTAAACATGAATTTCAAGAGGTTGAAGCGGATGCTTCTTTTTATGATTGTAATTGACTTTTATCCTGACCTTAATTCATTTAAAAATCTCTTAAAACAGAAGAAATATTAACGTTAATAGATTAGTAATGACAATCAATCTGATTAGCTCTAGCATACAAAACAATCTCAAAAAGAAACATGAAACTATATCTAAATTGTAATATTTTTATTATTACATTGCCATGACGCTATCGTTGGAGTAAGAGTTTTAGTATGGTCGGATAGAGAGGTTGCTATCACTCGTTAGTGGATATTTAAAGGGTCCACCAGAGATCTAATTTATGTCTTTTTTTTTTCATTGCTATATATATCCTATCTCTGCTGACGATATACATTCGTCATCTCTCACTATTACTGGTTAAGTTGGATAAAATTGTTCTTGCTTAATGTTTATATACACATGAGTACATGATTGAAGGATTAGACATGATATATAATAACTTTCTTTCATCATCGTCTTTCTTGTTCTTCATTTAGGAGCTCTGATTCTCAGTTCAGATGAATTAGAGTCGATATGTTTACAAGCTAAGTGGCATACGCTACAAGTTAGGTTGATTATTGTAGTGTTATATGTAGATGGTGACACACCAAGTAATCTTTATTTGTTTAATGTTAATGAAGTTGATTTTCTCTTCACATTTTGTATATGCTATAGCCCATCACTTCTTATTATATTGAGATCGGATCCCGATGGTAATTACTTACATACGTGTCTATTATCGACAGTCGTCAACATTCTTATTAGCTTGTAATGCACTTTAAGTGAGACATGATCATTAAAAGCTCAGCAAACTCAATTATTTACTTGCAATATTATGTCGTTAGATACTTAAAACCGCTAACTATATACAAAACATAAGATTTACAATAAGATTGCTAACTTTAAAAATTGAATTGTTTCGTGCAACACAGTCCCTCTAATTAAGCTTATACTTTTCAATAGATGTATTAAACAAGATACCAGTTTTTAGTAATTAATAAATTAAGAAATGAGAAACAGACCAATGTCTCAAATAAACTTTGTGGCCAATGAATCTTCTGAAAAGTTCGTTAACTATTATTTTTGATTTAAATCAACATTATTAAAAATCTAGCACCATCTATATGTTGTCTTATCAATTCACCAACAAATATAGGACTTGTCATAGAACAAAGCATGCAATGATGGATCATTACGATAAAAGAAAGAAGATAACATAAATAATGTGTAGAAATTTCAAATTTATAAAGTAATTAATCGCCATGTTATGAATCCATCATGACCATTGTTCGCCAATTTCAACAATTATGGCCCTCCAAGCTTAATAATTCAATGTTTCTTTTCCTTTATAGTTATTTAATTTATATATATTCGTGATATGCTAACAACAACATCACATTCTCTCTTCTTGAACACTAAACACAATAAGAAGAACAAAAATCATACATACGAATTCTCTCTTAATTTTCACCATTTGCTTTTGATTGTTTTCTTGAAGGTGGATACTAGACATGGATGCAAGGAGGATTAATATACACTTTGTATTGTTATCTTTATTAATCATCGCAGAAGTTCCTTCGTTTCTTGGGTTGAGTATGAGAGTCACTACTAAATCGGAGCCGGAAGCATTTCACGGGGAAGAGTACTTCCCGGCGATGAAGAAGAGGAAGTTGATGGTTACAAACATGGAAGTTGATTATTCAGGTGATTATGATGATGGAGCATCATCAGCATCACCATCACCACCAGTGCCTGATTATGATGATATCTATAGAAGGCAAGGTGATGTCCCAAGCCCTGGTATTGGCCACTAATCATGACCACTAATCATGACCACTAATCATGGCATATACTTTCTACAAAAAAAATGTGTATACTGTATACACACATATACACATTTTGCGTTATATATTTATACATACATGTTTTAGTTGTTTATAGATTTTTGTTCGCCTCCTCCATATAATCATTTTTTATTTCTATGTTTGCTTTTACTTCATTTTCGATATTTTCCCTTTTTAATTGTCTTTTTAAAAATGGTGACCTCCTATTTTGAACTCTCAGATTGTTTAGCTTGTGTTAATGGGAGCTTCTTGTATGTATGCAATAATAATATATCTATTTGATTCTTGCAACAATATTCATTTGTCCTTTGTGAAAATGCTTTCGAATAGTTCTAAAATTTCTTTTAGAACTAAAAATTGTTACTTTTTGAACATTTACAAAATTGTCACTTTCTCCATACATGTCTTAAGTAATTTTTATTTTTATTTTGTTATTAACTCGATTAATCTAAAATATAACAACGTTGTACAACCTTCGAAAGAAACCCAAATTTACACATAAGAAAACTAATGAACCAAGTGGGCTTAAACATAGTGATCTTGTGATATATATTGAGTATATAATTTCATGTTTCCAAGAATCCTGTGAGATATAAAAAAGAGGAAAACACACAAAAACATTCTGTCAGTTGGTAACAAAAAGAACACTGTGTCAGTGATACACTATTGCGTTATTGGCTCTTGAGCCATTAACCAAGACAAGTTGTATTCATTCATTCGCAAATTATAATAACAAATTATAGAATGTTGGCTTCACCGCCGTTAACAAAGCATAAAGAACTTCCACATGCGAGAAGTTATCGTGTGTTTGATTTTCAACACCCCCACATGCCCGCTAACCTATGCTCTTTTACTTAAAAGTGATAATTTAATTCTGATTGATATTCAAACCATATTATGATCCATACACGTCACAAAAATTATATGTCTACCATTACTGAGTTGGATTTGAACAGTATAAGTCTTGTACCTAAAAAGAAAGGAGAGAACAAATGTTTTACGTTTGAGTGATGTATACACCAAACTGAAAAGCACATCATTCCCAAAATCACTTATGTAGCTTAAAATAGTTTAAAAGATATATTTGGTATTTTGCTTTATAATGTCAATGTTGGTGTGAATGTGTGATTTGTCGTCATGCATCGCATATTCGCATGCATATGATACTTATACATTATAATGACTTGGTGGAATGTCATGCATGCACTGAATCCACCGACCAAGCTACTAGATGTTTTAAATTATATAATACTAGAAAGATTGATAGTGAAGAGCAAGCTGAATCGATTAGGAATCGTATTCCGATCCAGTTTTGTAACTGTTTGATTACAATAATGTGAAAAGTGAGAATGTGGTCGACTTATATCTTTATTCTTTTTAAGTGGCAATTGAAAGTATAAAGGCTGAACTTCTGAAGGGAGAGAAAGAAACATAAAATTAAAAGGAGTCAAAAGAAAAAGAAAGCAAAACTGAAAAAGAGCACCAATCAATGACTTCAAATTTCCAAACACATAATTTATATAATTCAAACAATAACAATTATCTGTGAAATTTACAATAGAAAACTGATATTTGATGTGAAGTAGATTTGAAAATCTCATAAAGATCTTTAAAAAGACATCTTTTAAATTATTTCATTCTCTTTATTGTTCTGTAATAAAGCACAAAATAATCTTATGTATTTTAGACTTTACATCAATAAAGTTAGATATTTAAAATTTTAAATATAGTTGAAAATAAAAATATTTTTTTTCCAGATACAAATTAAGGATAATACCCATAAACCATTTAAAAGGTTTACGAATTGTATCAAGATTTATTTAATTTATTGATCATCTATCCTACTGTTTTCTGTTTATTTGTGCTTAGCTAGGGGAAAAAAAATCTTAAATACTTATTTTTTGTAAAAGAAAACTCTTAAATTTTATTTTTTTCAAAATATATCTTAGATACTTGGTCTTTTGGTATTCCGTTTCATTAATATCTCTGTATTATAGTATAGTAATCCACCATTATTTTCAGTTTACCAGTAACCTCTTTACAATAAAAAGAAAGAAATTAAAAACGTATAATTTTAGTAGAAACCAACTACTACTATTTTTATAATTACGAGCGACAACGCGTTTTCTACATTCTTTAACCAAAAAAGAAGATTGGTTAGAAAAATTACTGATTTCCCGTCAACACGACACACACAAGTGTTCAAAAGGCCTTCGTTGCTATTAACTGAAAAACTGAAAACCTTTGAACAAAAAGAAAAAGCTTTTGGTATATTTAATCGATGAACAAAGCTTCATCAATGGCGTAAACTCTGTTGTTGGTAAGTAGACAAAATAATAAAAAAGCTTCTTTTTTTCTTTCCCTTTAAATGTAACTATCACTCACGTGTTTGTGTCTCTTCACCTGTAAATTATTCTCGCCACGTTTGCTCTCTTATCTTCTGATTTTTTGCTTCTACAAAACCCATTTCTGATAAAAATTGAAACTTTACCAAATTTTTCTGTAAGTGGAAACAAAGCCTTGTGAGGCAATAAAGTTAATAATTGATTTTACACCATTTATGGCTTTAAAAAGCTTAATGCTTTGTGTAGGTGAAGTCAATTGATTTGCATTTTTTTGCTGGTGGGTTCTCCTTTGTTTAAAAAAAGCTTAGAGCTTTAGGGTTTTTATGGTTGTTTTTGCTTGTGGGTTTATCTTAATTTTGGGTAAAAGAGAAGAGCATGTGCGTGAATGTGACCTACTTTTGTTTTGTTTTGGAAACAATGTTGAGTTGTCTTCTTTATTGTTCACTCTCTTTGGCTTTTGACAAGACTCTTCCTTTTCCCCTTTGCCCGAATTTACAAAACTTTCTTTGGATGAGATTCAATAAAAAAATCATTTTTTTTTTGGTTAGGTTGAAGAGAGTTGAGTGAATAAGACATGGATCTCAATTTTGGGAAATGCTGTGGTTCTAAGAAGGTTTGGTTTGATTTTAGTTTTTTTGAGATTTGTTTTTGGATTTTTTTTCTGATGGGTTTTAGAAACTGTGTGCAGAAGGAGTCATGGAGGTCTGTTATGCTTCTTGCGTATCAGAGTCTTGGTGTTGTTTATGGAGACTTGAGTATCTCTCCGCTTTATGTCTTCAAGAGCACTTTTGCTGAAGACATTCGTCATTCTGAGACTAATGAAGAGATCTTTGGTGTTCTGTCTTTTGTTTTTTGGACTCTTACTTTGGTTCCTTTGCTTAAGTATGTCTTCATTGTCCTTAGAGCTGATGATAACGGAGAAGGTGAGAGAGTCAGACTCTTTCTCTTTTAGACAAGAAAATCTATTACCTCGTTGCTTATGTTAAGTTTTGTCTCAGGTGGAACATTTGCTTTGTATTCACTCATCTGCCGTCATGTCAAAGTTAGCCTTCTCCCAAACCGACAAGTGGCTGATGAGGCGCTTTCCACTTATAAACTGGAGCATCCACCGGAGAAGAACCATGACTCTTGTGTGAAGAGATATCTGGAGAAGCACAAGTGGTTACACACTGCTTTGCTGATTCTGGTTCTTCTTGGGACTTGTATGGTCATCGGAGATGGACTTCTCACTCCAGCTATCTCCGGTACATTAGCTTCTCTCTGTGTCTGTGTGGGTATCTGAAACTCTAATTGCTGGCTGAATCTTTTGTTTTTGTTAGTTTTCTCTGCTGTGTCAGGTCTTGAGATGAATATGTCTAAAGAACATCACCAATGTAAGTGATTTAATGTTTACCTTTGTTGCTCCTTGAGTTCTTACTGAATAATCTATGGCTTCCTTTGTTTGCAGATGCAGTGATTCCTATAACATGCTTCATACTAGTCTGCCTTTTCGCGCTTCAGCATTTTGGAACACATCGTGTTGGGTTTGTTTTCGCGCCTATTGTCCTCACATGGCTGCTCTGTATAAGCGGTATAGGCTTGTACAATATAATACAGTGGAATCCTCATGTGTACAAAGCTCTTTCTCCTAAATACATGTTCATGTTCCTGAGAAAGACTAAAGTAAGTGGATGGATGTCTCTAGGCGGTATCTTGTTGTGTATAACAGGTGAGTTAATTAGAAATCTGTTTGTTACTGTCGCCATAAAATGAAAATGCCAGGTAGTTTTAACTTGTTGAGTCTTTGTTTTAGGTGCTGAGGCCATGTTTGCTGATCTTGGTCACTTCAATTACGCTGCAATTCAGGCAAGTTTCTACTTTAGCTTGAATGCTTTTACTCAGTGTTCAAAAAATTGATCTAGGCATCTGCCTAATCTATAATTCCATATAAAGCGTCTAAATACCGCGTAACGGTTTCTTGAACATTGCTTTTACTTATTGAGTGATTCTATGTGTTTGTGTGTTGTAGATTGCGTTTACGTTCTTGGTTTATCCAGCTCTTATATTAGCATACATGGGACAAGCTGCATACTTATCCCAGCATCACAACTCTGCACACGCAATTGGATTCTACATCTCTGTGCCAAGTCAGTCCCTTGCCTTTGTTCAAGAACTAAAACTTTGTTCTGTGTTGACTCCATTGAGAAACAGAATCTGAACTTTTCTTTATTGTTTTTTTTTGTTACAGAATGTGTGCACTGGCCTGTGCTAATGATAGCCATCCTTGCCTCCGTTGTGGGAAGCCAAGCTATCATCAGCGGGACATTCTCAATCATAAACCAAAGCCAATCTCTCGGATGCTTCCCTCGCGTCAAAGTCATTCACACATCAGACAAGATCCATGGTCAGATCTACATCCCTGAGATTAACTGGATGCTCATGGTCCTCTGCATCGCAGTTACAATCGGTTTCAGAGATGTCAAACACTTAGGAAACGCATCAGGCTTGGCTGTAATGGCGGTGATGCTAGTAACAACATGTCTTATGTCATTAGTCATAGTCCTTTGCTGGCACAAGCCACCGATCCTAGCTCTCTTGTTCCTTCTCTTCTTCGGTTCAATAGAGCTTCTCTACTTCTCAGCCTCACTAACCAAGTTCCGAGAAGGCGCGTGGCTTCCCATCCTCTTATCCCTCTTCTTCATGATCATCATGTACGTTTGGCATTACACAACCATCAAGAAGTATGAGTTTGATCTCCAGAACAAAGTCTCTTTAGAATGGCTTCTTGCGTTAGGTCCAAGCTTAGGTATCTCCAGAGTTCCGGGGATTGGTTTAGTCTTCACTGACTTAACCTCAGGGATCCCTGCGAACTTCTCTCGGTTTGTCACCAACCTCCCTGCTTTCCACCGAGTCCTCGTCTTCGTCTGCGTCAAATCAGTCCCAGTCCCTTTCGTTCCAGCTGCAGAGAGGTACTTAGTGGGCCGTGTTGGACCTGTGGACCATCGGTCTTACCGCTGCATTGTTAGGTATGGTTACCGTGACGTTCATCAAGACGTGGACTCGTTTGAGACAGAGCTAGTGACTAAACTTGGTGACTTCATACGTTACGACTGGCACAAAAGAACACAAGAGGACGACATGGCCCCATCAGTACGGTCCAACGAGTCCTCAAGCGAGTCAAGATTGGCTGTGATAGGGACAGTAGCGTATGAGATTGAAGAGAATCTACAACCAGAGAGCGTCTCGATAGGATTCACCACCGTTGAGAGCATGGAGGACGTTATAGAAATGGCTCCTCCACCAGCTGCGGCGACCGTGAGAAGGGTTAGGTTTGCTGTGGAAGAAGATAGGTACGAGGAGGAGGATGAGGCAGAGGAGGAGCTGAGGAGTGAGCTGAGGGATCTGTTGGCGGCTCAGGAGGCAGGGACGGCGTTTATATTGGGACATTCGCATGTGAAAGCGAAGCAAGGTTCGTCGGTGATGAAGAGGTTGGCTGTTAACTTTGGTTATAATTTCTTGAGGAGGAATTGTAGAGGACCTGACGTGGCGCTTAAGGTACCGCCGGTTTCTCTTTTAGAAGTTGGAATGGTTTATGTTGTTTGAGTTATTATAAGAAAAAAGACAAAACCCTAAGTTGTGTGTTTGTAAATTCGTGATGGTTAGTAGCTTCGTGTTGTGGTTATACTTTTCGGACATTATCGCTGTGTTTGTGTTAGTTTGGGTGTCAAACTTTCAGCAAAACTATTGTCCGAAAACTTGTTGTTGAGATAAGAATTATCAGTGAATCAACTATATTAAGTTGGTTTGATCAATTGTTAACTAATGCTTGAGATATGAGTTTCAAGTTCCAGAAAATATGATTTGTTGTCTTTTTTTTTTCCACATGATTTGTTATCTTTTTATGTAGAGAAACAACTTCTAAAAAATATTTAATATAGTGCAAGTATAAATGTGACTGTGTTCTTCACATAGCTAAGCTTTAGTCTGATACAATTGATCTAAATAATGGTAGAATCACTCAATAAAATGTAGATATCCGGCAAAAATCACGTGAAGATGTAAGATTAGATATAAATAAAGTGGAAGAATAGGATTTTACATCATCTTTGTAAGAATGAATTTAAAATAAGCCACATGTAGTTTTGTCATGTAATATAAATATGTGTGTAAACCTCTCTCTTTGAGAAGCAAAATGAAATAAATTCGAACAAGTTTCGGTTTAAGAATTGAAAATTTTTCTCCAAAAAAAATCTAGTCGTTGAAGGTTTCAACCTTCTGAAAAAACAGTTTTTTACTCTACGAAAAGAACTGATACAATGGATCAAAATTTTCATAAAATATGTAAAACTATTTACTTTTATAATTATTAAAAATAATTCTAATAACTTATAATAAATAAAATTAGTTTCATAAACAAAAAAAAATTGATTTAAGAACCTCATATACTAATTAGTAATTAGTATCAGTATGTTATCCACACAGCGTATATCAATGTTTTGAGAGTTTTTAATCAAAGTTGATGTTGAGCAAAAAAAAAAAAAAAAATCAATGTAACCAAAACTCCTAGTAACTTATGTATAAACGACAACAAATTGTTCGTTTGACCCAAAACGCTACGTTTTAAGTTGGAGGACGGGGGCGGGAGAAACCTAGCAGATATGGCGGGAAAGGCCCAACTATACATACACTAGACAAATGCCCTACGAGCAGACTCAGTGTTTCATCATCTTTACTCTATCCTTTTACTGATTCGTCGCTCATAGAAGAGCTTTTGCAAAAAGGTGAGATTATGGGAGGACCAGCTTACGATTGTCTTACTAACCCATCGGGAGCCGTTCGATTCTCATTCGCCAACGCTCTTTCTTCGGGATACGATCCGGCGTCGTCTCATGGGAAAGACTGGGGCGTCGTCGATTTGTTCCGTCACTACTTCTCCGACGAATCTGCCATCTCCCAGGTTTGTACAAAGTTTCCGCCTTTATTCGTTTTTGGGTTTTGGTTTTAGTTACTACAATGATTTTAGTTATCTGTTTTGAGTTTAAAGGTTGAAACTTTACTGTAGTTTGAGGTTATGTCCTATCTAAAATAGCTTCTTTTTTGTGTTGGGTTTTTGGGCAATTACTACCCAACTAGTAGATATCAGTTTTGAGCATAGAAAGGTGGAAACTTTGCTGTAGTTTGAGGTTGTGTCCTAACGAAAATAGCTTTTTTGAGGTTGTGGTCTATCCATAGATTGGTCAATTTAGGCTGGGTTTAGTGCAGTTGAGTATCGATTCATGATGTGTATTGAGTAAATTTTGTGTACAAAAATGTTGAAACTTTGCTTTAGTTTGAGGCTGTGTCCTAACTAAATCAGCTTCTTTGAGGTTTTCGTCTATACACAGAGTGTTCAATTTGGGTTGGGTTTAGGGTGATTGAGTATCAATTCATGAGTTGTATCGACCCAACTCGTAATATATTCATTTTGAGGACAAAAGGTGAAAACTTTACTGTAGTTTGAGGTTGTGTCCTAACTAAATCAGCTTCTTTGAGTTTGTGGTCTATCCATAGATTAGTCAGTTTGGGGTTAAAAAGGATCTGTTATTAGTTATTTTTAACTAACCGATTTGATTTTGTGTCTGTGTGTACTGTAGGTTCCAATTCTTGATTCGTCAAGTATCAAGTGGGTGCAGCCCAATACTCTTGTTCGGTTCCGTGGAATGATACAAGACATGCTTGGAAATGAATTCTATGCTGGTGCTTACAAGGTATGATTATATATGATGTTTTCTTCTACTAAGGATGCGTTGAACTGAATTTTTAATTTGTCAATAACTTTTTATTTTCTACTCTGTTAAGGATGATGCAACATGGAGAACCAATAAGTACAGTGATGTTTCCCAGTTTCCTACTGGTTCTTCCTCTGACATGCAAGTTTGGGAGCGTCGTCTACTCTACTGTGTTCCTGTATGCTTTCTCCTATGCCTGATCTTTATTTGTTGTTCTTGCTATGGTCTCATAGATGTTTAAACTTGATTGCAATGTAGGTTCCAGGGCAAAACCAATGGACTGAATGTTCTTCTGCGGAGCTGAAGAACCGTTTTTTGGAACTAACTGGCCAAAACAGGGAGAAACGTGTGAGGGTTGATGAAGAAATGACTGATTCCATGGACTCAAACGTAATTTTAGTCTCCCTTCTTTGCTTTCGGATATTAACTGTTGCTCAGTTACTTACTTATGCCACCATTGCAGACTCTTGAAGCTGGACTTAACGGCTCACCTTTCAAAAAACTGGTAAGGATTTAGTCTCTTAGTCTTTTATTTATGTTTCTATTAGTATAAGTTGTGGAACAACCCCGAATTTTTCAACTCTTTTTATTTCTGATTATTTTGGCATTGATATTTATTAGAAAGCAGAGGAAGCTACCTCATCAGCTTCTGAGAGTCAGGTTCCCAGGACTGATGGTGCTCCACAGAGATCTGTTCTTCCACCTGCTACTAGTGCAGAGTCTCTACCTTGTCTTGTGAAGGTGAATATTTGGCTTTTTCTTCACCATGTATATACTTAGTGCAATGAATAGTTTATTGACAAAGTTCATATGCCTCCACGCAGGTTTATGATTCTCCAGAGTCAGACTTGAAGCTAAATGAAGTGGTTGAGTTCCTTGGAGTGTTGACTTTCGATCCAAACACTATGATGGATATGGATTCACCTGATGACAACACTGATGCTTTTTCTGAAGCTGAATCTGTTCAGATGCCATCTGGAAAAGTTCCACGCCTCCATTGTCTTATCCACAGGAAGCTTGAAACACAACATTTCCTGCATGGTTCTCCCTTGTTAACAGAGGTAAGTACCACCTTAAAAAAATAAAATCCATGATCTCATATTTATTTTCAAATATATTGTTGCTTTATCATCTTGCAGCTTAAATCTCCTCAAATGTTCAGAGAGATAAGAGATAGTTTGATGAAGTATCTAACCGGTCTACTTGGTAATGATCACATTGCAGCAGAGTTACTATTGTTACATCTTCTGTCAAAGGTAATTTAATTCAAAGTGCATCACATTTTTCTTCTTCTTATCAGCTATTAACTGCTAATCTTTTGCTGTATAGGTGCATGGAAGAGTTGATAACGTAGCTGTTGGGAAGCTTTCACTTAATCTCACACACCTTAATAAAGAAAGCATGTCGATCTTTGGTACACAGCTCCGCAATGCCCTCAAAAGCCTCTTACCATTCACACAATCTATACCACTTACTATTGAATATCTCAACACCGCCTCCCTCGGTCCCAAGAAAGACTATGGAACCAACAGGTAAGAAGAATCCATAAGAGCTTTTGAATCATCATTTTCTTGAGAGACCATCATGTTATTTTTTTTATGACCAGATTGGTGCCTGGAGTTCTACAAGTTGCTGATGGCACACACTTGATATTGGACGAAACAGAGTTGCAACCAGGGACCTTGAACTCTGTTGGAGTTGAGAATGCAAACCTGCTTAAAAACCTCTTGGAATGTCAAAAGGTAAAAGCAATCTCATTCATTCATTCACTCATCACTTTGATCAAACTCAGATATGAATTATGGAATCTGCTTGTGCTAGTTCAGGTGGAGTATGATTTTCAATATTATAAAATGGAAATGGCTACTGATGCTCAGATGCTCATCTTCTCCGAGGGAAAATCAAACATAATGCCTGCTGATATGGTTGTACCGTTTCAACCTTCCCAAGTGAATCCAATGCAAGTCATCACACCAGAGACAGCACAAGCTTGGAGGTGTTACTTAGCCACTTGCAAATCGTTGTCTCACTCCATTGGGCAAGAATTGCAACAGGTGAGTGTTGTGCTCTAATCTATGGCAACTGTGTTATGAAACCATTGAGTCTACTAGCTACTAAATTCATTTTCTTGCAGGTATTGGAGAATGATTTGGTTGCAGCAAGACAAACTGATCGTAGTTTAGGTAGCCAAGACTTGAGCAGGTACTAAAGCATTCCTAAGTTTTATTCTCATCAAACTTGGAATAGTTTTCAATTTTGTTCGGTTTCTGCAGATTGTTGACTATGGCTCGCATGATGTCTGTGAGTTATGGTGAGGCTACGCTTTCGCTAGAGCACTGGCAAATGGTGTTGGAGCTAGAAAGACTTAGGAAGGAGAGGCTCAACTAAAACAATGGCGTCCTATGTGGTTTGTAGCTTATTTGGATATTGTAATCTCCACTTTGTTATGATAAAGAACAATGGTTTCAGCGTTTAAATGATTTGCAAAACTGTACGTTAAAAACATAATCATCTTTAATCTCACAAGGTAATCAAACAGTGTAGGAAACTTTAAACTTTAATAAGTTAAACGAAACAAATTTAACCTAACAAAGAATGCTATAAGATTTCTTGCCTAGCAAGTAAACATACAACCTCAACCATAACCTATCAATGCTCAACTTAACAACTATTACATAACTCATACATAAACCATTCCTCACTAGCCTCATCGTTCTTCTCCACAGCTGATTGGTCTTCCACGACCGAACCTTGAGCTTCTTTTTGTCTTCTTCTAGGACCAATCGGAGTTGGCAATGGACCACGAACTCTTGATGCAAACAAAGGACGTTCCAAGTACTGTCTCTTTTCAGGAGGACTTGGGATTGGCTGTAAAATTCGACCAGAGACTCTTTGTATAATAAAAGGATGGTTCAAAAGCTCAGTTGCTGAAGCCCTATTCCAAGGATGCCAAGCATGGCACTGTCTCAAGAAGTCTATAGCCACAGGAGAGATCTCTTGCTCAAGCTGCCACACGTAAGTAACTCCCGTAGCCATCTCCATTGCCTTACCTCCAAACATCTCAAACACCACACACCCTAACGACCATATATCAAGAGCCTGCCCAATCAATCCCTCCGGATCCTCAGCAACTTCCGGAGGCATATACATATTCGTACCAGCAGACTTCAACACAGAATAGGTATTAGGCTCCTTTGATAAACCAAAGTCAGCAAGCTTAGCATCCCACGGCTCTCCAAAAGAGGTTGATGGGAAGAGGAGTATGTTATCTGGCTTGAGGTCACAGTGAACGTAACCCTCTAAGTGAAGAGCTTCAAGTCCTTGTAGGAGCATACGAGTGGTGCGTCCAATCACGTGCTCAGGCAATGGTTTCCCACGGAATGATGATATAACTTCGTTTAGACTACCTAATGATGCATACTCCATATAGATGTAGCAATCTTTGAGGAACATACCTAAGTGAAGATGCTCACTAGAGGCTTGAACGATGCGAGGATGGTTGCGGAAGTTAAGCATGATCCTTAGCTCTTTCTTGAGATTCTCCTTGAGTCTTATTGAAGATGTTTTCTTAGCGTAAAGTCCATAGCCAGGGTGAGCCTTGAGAGTCACGGAACCGAAGGCTCCTTGGCCAAGAACACGAACAGTTTGTAATGAAAGTTCGTCTACGTATAGAGGCTCCTCGTACCTAATATCCATTGTGACTCGTGAGCTATTCTCTTAGCTCTGTTTGGATCTTTAGGGAGTGTTGATTAAAGAAGTGCGTACCTTGATCTCTATTTATAGTTGACATCTCGGTGGATTTCTAACTCCTTTTACTATTAGGAATTGTTTTTTTTTTTTTGTTGGGTTCCTGAGTTGACTTGAGATTAGGGCTGGGCACGGGGCAAGTACCCGGAATTTTAGCTATACTTGTAACTCGACTTGCCCCGTCCAAGTATTAAAAAACTCGCCTTACACTTGTATTTGCTAACACCAAGTACTTGGTTAAACAAGTACTCGTCCATATTGAAGATACTTGCGAGTACTTGTACTTATTTTATATAAAGTAAAATTTATGTATGTTAGTTTTTAAAAATAAATCTCATTTCGATAATTTTAAGAATAGGTGATTATTTATATCATTATCTTTGTTTCACTTCTCTATTATAACCGATATGGGCTAATATAGAATAGAATTTGGTAAAAAAATGAGAGAACTATTTAATTCTATATTCTTGAAAAAATATAATCTATTTTTCCGACATCAAAAACTTATTTTTCTCTTTCGTAGTATTATGACAACTCAAGTTCCCTATAAATATGTTGTATACATTATTTTTTCATGTTTAAAAGTATTTTACATGAGTATTAAACTATCTGAAATAACAATATAGATGTTATAAATATTTTGAAAGTCAAGTAACNATCAAAAACTTATTTTTCTCTTTCGTAGTATTATGACAACTCAAGTTCCCTATAAATATGTTGTATACATTATTTTTTCATGTTTAAAAGTATTTTACATGAGTATTAAACTATCTGAAATAACAATATAGATGTTATAAATATTTTGAAAGTCAAGTAACGAGTTGAAACAAGTCAAGTAGCTAAAATAATTTTAAGATTTGATACTTGACTTAGATTTGCAAGTAATTAAATTTCATAACTTATTACTTGCCTTATTTATGATAAGTACTTGTCTTTGCGGGGCAAATACAGTGCGTGTAACGAGTATTAACCGAGTAACGGGTAATTGTGTCCAGTCCTACTTGAGATAGGTATCTCTTCCTATGTCACTCCTATTTCATCTTAGATTATGAAAAGTGTCACTTTATACTCACCGTTTCCTTATTTTTTTTTGAGTTGTTTGTTTGCTTATTTCCTTTTGCATAGATTAGCTTTATCTCGTTTTATTTGGATTCTCAAATAATTATATTGTCCAATTTTTTTTTTATTTCATTGAATCCATGTATTTTATTTATAATTTACTTTGATTAAAACTAAAATAGCATGGACATTGAATATCCGGTTTAAATTTGGATTGATTTCCATCAGGTCTGAATCTTTCGAGTTTTTAAGATTTGGATTTATCAAAATATTTGTAAGTTTTTTTATTTTGTTTCCTATTTATTCTATTTCAAATATTAATAGATACAAATGCTTTAAAATTTTGTGTTATTATTATGTTCGGATTCTGACCAGTTTTCTTAATCTAAAATCCTTCAAATTTTACTTGAAATCTATCAAATTTGTTAGCAATTTGTAAAATACAAAATAAATTATTAGTTATTGATATTAAACTTTTTATATATTTAACATTTGAAATTTCATATTATTTACTACTTAGAATGTCAGAAAAAGAACATTGCAAACTAAGAACACTAACCATATATATTAGTATGGAAAATAGAATACACGTAATATAATATAAAATATTTACGTTTTTAGATCGACGGCTTGATTCTCATCGAATCATATCTATTCAGATCGGTTATGTTCAGATTGATCTTTTTATTTTGTTTCTTTTAGATAAAGGAGTATTTAACGTCGTGTATAAGAAAGTATATTAACAATTTCGTATAAATAGGTATCTAATTAATAGTGCAAATATAATTGAAGTACAAAATACAGAGGGGACTAAGAACAAGAACGTATGTATGTATGAAAAGTATTTATATTCCTTAGAAGAATTGGGGTCCTCTTCTCTTTGTCTTTAATCTCTCTTTTAGAGGTCCTCAAGAGTAGTGAAATGTAATGGCAACCTGATCTCCAGTGAGGATCATGTGTGTTTATACAGTAGTTTGTAAGTATCAGCTTAGTATGGACCATCACTTGAGCTTGGCATGGGCCTCAGACCTTAATGGACCCATTGTTGCCTTACGGGCCTAAAGAACACTGGATTAGGTTCTCGGACCACTAATACAAGAAGTCTATTCATGAAAAGGCATGGTTTGTGTTAGAACTGTCATTGCATTATTGCTCCCGTTGAAACTTACTAATATACATTATTGACAACAACTGATTCAGAACATTTATAAAAAGTCCATTCATATGGAATGGATATTTATAATAACAAATACTAAATGAAGACATGCAGTTGTCTTCATGTGAGATTATGCTTAGGCTTAATAATGCTTTTGAATAATAATGAGATAAGTCTGCCCAATGAAACAGAATTCGTTGAAAGATAATATATGTTCACATCGAGGACCTATCGTAAAGGAATAGAGAACAATCATTCCATTCTATTTGAACATTAGACAACAAACAAAACGATTGTCTCTTTTTTTGTCACGGCTCACATTGCTATTGATATTTGTCTTATCATCTTTGAACCTGCCTATTCCACATAAATATTTGTAGATTTTGTATATAAAGATTGTACTGTATATCTCTAAACTTAAAATTATATAACCGTCCAAAGTTATAATTTGTAAACAATATTTTTGATTGTATATTTTTGTTTAAACGTGGGGACAGGGTGTAGTGGCTAACAAACAAACTTATAATAGTAGTTTAGTCAACTCAATAATTTGTACGATAATTTTTTTTATGATTTGCCAACTATTACAAACAAAAACTGTTACGTCTACCTATTATAGTAGGAACTTATAGTAGACTCATAAATATGAAAAACAAATAGTCAACTGATCTCTTGTAGAAACCAGTTTATGACTCTCCTACAGAAAATTCTATAAATACCCACTAAAACCCCATAGTTTATCTCAACCCATCTCAAAGAACATAAACACTTCTGAGCTTTAGTTTCAGAGTTTTTCTTGTACACAAACAAATGGCTTCAAGAACCTCTCTTGCACTCTTCCTTTCCCTTAACCTCCTCTTCTTCACTTACACTTCTGCTCAAGGCACTTGTCCTAGAGATACCCTTCAGATCGGTGCTTGCACTAATGTGCTCTTGAGTACAATTAGCTTAACATTGGGAAACCAAACGCCTGCACCAATACCGCCATGCTGTTCTCTCATTGCAGGCTTGATTGACGCTGAGGCTGCAGTCTGTCTCTGTACCGCGCTCGATGTTAACATTCTTGGTGCCATCAGCATTCACCTTCCCATCAATCTCAGTGTACTCTTCAATGCTTGTAGCAGATTTGCTGCACCAAGTTTCCAATGCCCCTAAGTTGAATACGTATGACATACATACCGAAAAAATAAAGGTTGAACGTGTTGCCTATCGTCTTTTGTTTTTTTTAACTTGTGATTTTCTTTTGTATTTGCAATTTCCTTCATTGAATAAAATAACGAGTGTAACGTTATCATGCAACAATGGGGTTTGTGTGTGTAATAGGCACGTTTGTTCCCCTTTTACATACTTGTTCCTCCTTATCTTCATTTTCAAATGTCTTTTGAATTTGATTAATAAAAGCTTCAATCGGTAATAAGAAAACTGCATAAATAGAATAGATATAACAATGAAGTTCTAATCACAAACTTGTAGAAGACTTGAATCTTCTCTCACCTTTTACTTAATTTGTTTTATTTGATATTAGCTATTGGAAAACAAAAGAGTCTTACACTGCTCCAAATCATTGGTTTACTTTGGTTAAC